AATATATGTCAAAATTAATACTGTGCCGTTTAACCATGTATTGATAATTATCGATCTCCCAGGTGTTCCAGCCTTTCCAAAGGACTTTTGATACGTTATCTAAGTCAGCCCTCACAACCATATGAGAATGAGGCCCCCAGTCCCAGTTTACACATGAGAAAACTGAGGCTGGGGTTGGTAAAGAGCTTGCTGAAGGTTTCAAAGTGACCAGGCAGGTCCAGGACCTGACCCAGACCCGGCTCCTGGCCCACACCAGGCTCTCCGCAGCCTTCCTCACACTGTATTTGTGCAGAAGCTAGTCCTCACCTTTCTCATCTGACGTTCAGATGATACAAATGCTACCTACATTACAGGTGGCCGAGGGTAAATGTGGTGGTGTGTGTAAAGCCTTTAGGAAGGTGGCTAACTCGCAGTAAGCCCTCAATAAATGCTATTATGTGATCCAGCGGATATTTTTTCTGAAACATTTACACTTATCAAAATTGATTCCTTCTACTGAATGGTTTTTATTTTCCTACTTCACATATTATCCTTATATTTTTCGTTGTTGCTCAGGAGTAGTCTTTTCTCTTTTTGTGTATGTTTTACATTAAAATAGTAAAGTCCATTTTCTTACCAGTACAATCCGAGCTGCAAGTAATTTTCAGAAAATGATTTTACTACAAAATTTTAATTGGCTTTTTTCCCTCCCAAATGCCATTCACATCCTTTGTGTCTCCTTCATAGTCAAACACTTCTCCCAAGCTTAGAAAAGCAAGTCATACCTAGAAATTCTGCAAAAATGTCAGTTTCTATGGCAACCACAATAAGCAGACATGAAAAATGTCAACTATAATCAATCAATGCCTTTGAATTTTCTTTGAGTTCTATGGATTTCTTTAAGTGATGGACAAGAAGGCCAGTGTTTGTTTGTATTTGTTTTTATCTTCAGGTTGGAATGTTTTTTTTTCTTTTTTCTTTATCTCCAATCTACACACAAAGGATCAGTGTTTATAATTTGAGAGAAATGACAGAATCACAACATGAAATAATCTAATGCACCTGCAGAAGATTTGACATAAATAATTTTAGGTCACGGATATCTCCTCTGATAGCCAGTAATAGTATTACCTTCCTTTTCGTAGTACTTTGTAGTTCAAGGTACTTTCCCATGCATTATCTAATTTAACCCCCCAAATAATCCTGTTATGGGTAATTTTTAAGTATAACCAAAGATCCTCAGAAGGATAAAGCAACTTCCTTAGATAGAGCAGACTGTGAAATCAAAATGCAAACCCAGAATTCCTTATCCTTTGTCAATTTTTACTAGTTATTTATTGTTCTCAGAAGAACTGCTAAAATTTCCCTTAAGTAAGTTCCTGCTTGCCAGCCCTTATAGTCATGATGTTGTTCCCAATGCCTAATGTAAGTACAACCTGCTGAAATTGAAGATAACTAATTTCCTGTCACTTGAAGTAAAGTTAACTTCCCCAAGGTCCTAGATGTAAGGTAAATTATCTGAGTTTCTAAATCAGTGAAAAATAAGCCCTGTTTTTTCACAAAAAACCGCATTATTAGAAATCAGAAAGGTGGGGCGCCTGGGTGGCTTAGTCGGTTAAGCGTCCGACTTTCGCTTAGGTCATGATCTCGCGGTTCGTGGGTTTGAGCCCCACATCGGGCTCTGTGCTGACTGCCAGCTCAGAGCCTGGAGCCTGTTTCAGAGCCTGTTTCAGAGTCTGTATCTCCCTCTCTCTCTGACCCTCCCCTGCTCACGCTGTCTCTCTCTCTCTCTCCTAGAAATAAATAAAACATTAAAAAAATTAAAAAAAAAAAAAGAAATCAGAAAGGTTTTTGTGTAGAAGGCACAATAGTGTATTTTGGCTTTCCGGGCTGGTCTCTCTGAGACTGCTCAACTCCATTGTTGCAAGAGCATGGCTGTGTTTCAATAAAATTGTATTCACAAAAATAGAGTCAAGGAATTATTTGTTGCATGGGCTGTGGTTTATCTGCCCATAGTCTAGTCACTTGAGTTTATTCTCAAAAAATGGGGAGTAAGATTTAGGCTGTCCTTACTGAAGCACTGAGAGAATTACCAAGCAGAGGACAGACATTCTTCTATGTGGTGGTTTTTTGTTTGTTTTATTGTTGTTTTATGCAGTGAAGGGATGGATGAGCGGTTGCCCCAAGAAACCCTACAAGTCTGTGTTCTCTAAGCTATATGACAGGATGTATTATTCTTGCCTCTGGCTAGAGGGCTAGCCAGGGAAACATACTGGCATACATTCTTTAATCGCACACACACTCTCAGGCTCTTTATTATGTGTTGTGCTGGCAACCACGGGGTAGACAAAGATGAACAAGTCTCGTTGGCAGCTTTCTAGCAGTTTGCAGTCTGGAGTAGGAGCAGGAGAAGAGGTGGTGAAGACAGATAAGCATGCAGAAAAACCATAGCCATAGCATAAAGAAAAATGTGGAAAGGAACAGTAAGGAACAGTAAGCTGTCAGCACAGAGCCCAATGGGTGGCTGGAACTCACGAACCATGACATTATGACCTGAGCTGAAGTTGGATGCCCAACCAATTGAGCCACCCAGGCACCCCAGCCAAAACTTCTGAGAGCTTGAAAGGCGAAGCTGAGGTGTTGGGTTTCTATTCTGCAACATAAAGGAGCCCTGGCTGGTTTTTGAGTAAGTACATAGGTAGGATCAGAACTGGGCTTTACCAAGAGAAGTATTAGCAGCAGTGCGGGGAAAGCCAGATTCATGCAACACACCAAGAACCCTAGACCAAAGCTCTGTCTGGGAGAAACCAAATACGATCCACAAATGCAAGAAGCCATGTATGTGATTTTTAAATTTCTTGTAACCATGATTATAAAACATAAAAGAAATCATTGGAGTTTTTTAATGTTTATTTATTTTGAAAGAGAGAGACAGAGCATGACTGCACACATGGGAGGGGCAGAGAGAGAGAGAGAGAGGGAGAGAGAATCCCAAGCAGGCTTTGTTCTATCAGTACAGAGCCAGACATCGGGCTCTATCTCAGTAACCTCGAGATCATGACCTAAGCCAAAATCAAGAGTTGGACACTTAATTGACTGAGCCACCCAGCGCCCTTGGTTTTAATAAGATGCTTTATGTAATCTAATTTATCGAAAATATTTTTATTTCAACATGTAATCAATATAAAAATGATTGCTGTGACTTCTACATTCTTTATCTTACACCAAAACTTCAAAATCTGGTGTGTGTTTTCACTTAGAGCAAGTCTCAATTCTGACTTGGGACATTCGAAGCGCTCAGTGTGGCTAGTAGTCCCCAGACTGGATAGCACAGCTCTAGAGCATGTATAATAATAATAATAATAATAATAATAATAATTTAAAAAAAGTATCCAGGAAGGGACCTGGGCCAGAGTTGGAAGCAAGATCAAAAGACAGTCATTTAAGGATGCCTGGCTGTTTATTTCGCCAAGTCTCCTTGTGCCCTAAGTTCTTTTAGAATAACCAACATCGGAATAACTTCTATGCCTTTAAAATAAAGTATTCATAAATTGCCATGTGGACTTAGAAAATCCTGCTGTAGCCACAGGTAGGTAAACTGTTAAGGTAAGTCAAATCTCACACACTTTGTATTATAGTTACAAAAGTCTCAATGAGGAGTTTGAATCTTAACATTTTTCAGCTAGAGAGGCTCTTCACAATTATTTCATGAGACCTCCCAATTTTACAAATGGCAGAGACCCAATTCCACTCAACCAGATATTATTCCCAGGGTTGCCTAATTGTTCTCTTTTTCTGCGTTACTCTATGTGTGTGTGTGAGAGAGAGATACAGAGACAGAGAAAGAGACAGAGAGGAGAGAGATTCTACAAGTACATAGAAGAGACAGAGAGACAAAGATAGGCAGCAGAGAGGATAGTTCAGCAGGAGGACAAGGGTGAAAAACATTTGCTAAGAGCCTTTTACAAGATACAGTTGTTAGGGCCCCACCCTGATCTACGGAATCAGAGCCAGACTCACACCACTTTAAGGTAGTGGCATGGCTAATCTACAAGGAGACCTATATTATTATCAGAAATTAGCAAAACACTGAAGATTTTGTTTAACCAAAATACCTGAAATGTCTAAAGGCTGGAAGGAACGCTTTATTACACTGCTTGACAGGTTGGTTGTTGGGGTGAGGAGAGGGAGAAGAGTTGGGGTAGAGAAAGACACAAAGGGACATCTGTGGACCATGTAGAAAGTTCTAGACACAAGATCCCTTTAACAGAGAGATGGCCCAGTGAACTGCACTGTTTTTGGCTGGGGTGTGTGTGTGTGTGTGTGTGTGTGTGTGTGTGTGTAAAATGTTTGGAGGTAGAACTAAGTTGGCACAGAAAGAAAGGTGATGTTCAAGATACATCTACTGTCTTCATTTTTTACCTCTCCCATGACAGCAACCAAAAAAAAAGGGGGAAAAGGGGAAATGTTTTATATCACTTTGGGTACCATTTTACTAATCTGATCATAATACTGAACAGTCCTAACATGCCCACATTTATCAGCTTGCACCTAGCCAGGAATGTGAAGCCAGAAACGGTCTGCAGGTGATCTGATTTGAACTCCTCCCCACCAAGGTGAAAACCATTATAGCTCCGTGTCCTGATTTTAATGTGCATACAGCCACCTGGGGACTTGTTAAAACCCACGTCCTGATTAGAGGTCTGGGGAGGAGGAGCCCCGGGCCGTGCATCTCTGATAAGCGTCCAGGCCATGCCTGTGCTGGCTGTCCGCAGACCACTCATGGAACAGTAAGGCCCAGGAGTGTCAGATAGTTTAAGCACAAAGTAATACACGCATCCCCAGGTATTTCCTCCTCTTCTGCGCTGTACTCCCCACTTTGGGGCCTGAGGTTCCCTTCCCTCGGACACACGGTGGCTGAGTGGGAAGCGATGAGGTGTTCAGAGCCCATAGGGCTCTGAGCTACAGATCCTTTGCTTGAAGGCTCATCCCTTTTCATCCTTTGACCTCTCTGCTTTCAGGTGTCTAAGCTTGAGAGAGAGAAGACTCAAGAAGCAAAGAGGATCCGTGAGCTGGAGCAGCGCAAGCACACAGTGCTGGTGACGGAGCTCAAAGCCAAGCTCCATGAGGAGAAGATGAAGGAGCTGCAGGCTGTGCGGGAGAATCTCATCAAGCAGCACGAGCAAGAAATGTCAAGGACAGTGAAGCTGCGGGATGGGGAGATCCAGAGGCTCAAGTCGGCCCTGTGTGCCCTCCGGGATGGCAGCAGTGACAAAGTACGGACAGCGCTCACCATCGAGGCCCGGGAGGAGGCCCGGAAACTGTTTGACGCGGAGCGCCTTAAGCTCCTACAGGAAATCGCGGACCTGAAAACTGCGAAGAAGCAGGTGGACGAGGCTCTCAGCAATATGATCCAAGCGGATAAAATAAAGGCCGGAGACCTTCGCAGCGAGCATCAGTCCCATCAGGAAGCCATCTCCAAGATCAAGTGGGAGTCAGAGCGGGATATTCGGAGGCTGGTTAGTAACCCAGTGCAGTGCGTGGGGGCACATTCCCTTGGCAGGCGTCAGAGCGCCGGGGCTGTGCTTTTCCGGGTGTCTCTCATGAGTGCCCACCCCTTGTCTAGCTCTATCCGAAATACAAGATAGGTCCATAGGTAGGCAAGTAGTTAGATAAACAGATACGCCCAGGCCAAAATTGGAATCGTAAAATGTAAAAGATACGGGAATCACCTTTCTCCTTAAAACTGGATTCTTCCAGCCGCACGTGTATGGAGAGTATTTGTTCAATGATTCCTGTTTTCTCGAATGTCTCTAAAAATATTCTAACTTATGAACTCTTCTAAAATCAAAATGTTTTGTGGGCGTTCCATTTGTAAAATGTTACTGGGTTTTTAAAGGGGTAGGGAAAGTGTCTACGGCTTTTTAAGTTTCTGTGCCATCTGAAAATGGCAGCCACTGAGAGCTTCCTGAATGATTCACCTGTCTTCTTTCCAGGGACTGTGTCTGAAAGCAAGAAATAAGAGCTATAAGTTCCCTAGTCATTTTTAAAATAGATCTTCTTTCCCAAAATAAATAAGGACCATTCAAAACCGGAGCCATTATAATTTTTAAACTGGATGTCATTCCTAAGTAGTTTATTTGCTATTGCCAATTTCCAAGACTTATTTCAAAGGGTACAGAGTTAGAGCTTTCTCTCTTCTCTCTCTCTCTTTTTTTTAAAATGTTTAACTTGAGACAGAGAGCGAGCAGGGGAGGGGCAGAGAGAGAGGGGGGCACAGAGGCTCTGAAGCAGGCTCTGTGCTGACAGCTGAGAGCCTGATGTGGGGCTCAAACATGAACCGTGAGATCATGACCTGAGCTAACATCCAACACTTAACCAACTGAGCCACCCGGGTGCCTCAGATCTTTCATTTTAATATGTATGACCAAAAGCACATTGGTTTCTCACTATACCTAAAAAAAAAAAAAAAAAATTATTGTGTGAAAGCCTACGTTGACTACATCCAGTTATTTTTGAAGACACATTTACATGCATCTATACTCAGAATGTTTAGCATTTGTTATATCTTATCAAATTAACCCTCACCTGTTAGAATGTACTTTATGCTTCCCTAAAAATAATATTTTCTGGGTACCTGGCAGGCTCACTCAGTGAGCATGCTAGTCTTGATCTCTGTATTGAGAGTTATACCCCATGTTGGGGGTTGAGATTAGTTAAAAATAAAATCTTTAAAAATAATAATAATATTTTCTTAGGAAAAGTACACTTTCCTTCTGTGTCTGCTCATTTTAAGCAATTATTTTTTAAGAAATCCAATTATGTTCCTTGAACAATATCTCTAGGATTTCAATTTTAAGTAAAAGTGGGTACCATAGAACATTTTAAAATATAAATGTGTAAATTTCTTTGTACTATAATACAGTGTGACTATAAATTGTTGCCTTTGCCACACTTTCCAAAAATTCTTTATCTGCAATTCAGTCTATTGCCCTGGTTGACAATAAAGACCAAACACAGTGCAGAAATATTGGTCTGCCCTGCCTTTGGTTTTTGAAATGACAATGGCTAATGAAGAAAGAACCAACACTGTGAACTCTGGAGTCAGCAGGTGGGTAGATGAAAAGGGCGTCGTACATCAAATATTTGTGTTTGTTGATGGTTTGGGATATAAACTCTATGAGTATATCCATCTGGTTTCTGTAGTTTCTTTCTAGAAGTGATTTGCTCTTACCAGAATACTGCTAGAGTAGACAAGCAGTCTTTGTTAAGAACAATGTAAAATCTAAGCTACCTGAGGAGTGGTTAAAAAACTGGGTGCAAATAGAGGAACATGAGAAACTTTTTCAGTATTACCGATGCCCTGCTCTTCAGTTTTTTTCTTCTTGTCCTGTGACTACCTCTCAACCCAGCTCCATTTTTGGAACTGGAAAGGAGGGAAATGGAAGCTGTTCTGTTTAGAAAATTTCCTCCCAGGGAATTCTGGTATGTACCCCTCCCCATCTAAGAACTAGAACTGTGGAAGATTTTCAGTGCTCTGAAACCAAAGCCCATGCTTACAACAACTATGCGGTAGAGACTCATCGGCACTTATTACCGGATATTCTATAGAAAACTATTTTGGAAAATGCTGGAAGTATGTTGGGGTCAGTATTGCATAGTGCCTATTAGAATGGGCTCTAGAGTCAGAAGACTGAATTTAAAATTGGGCTTCACCACTTATGAGCCATAGGATTATGACAAAGTTTTTAACCCTTTGAGTCCTCGATTGTCATCTGTAAAGTGGTGATAACAGAACTTACGTAATAAATAGGATTGTCATGAAAGAAGATAAGGTATATAAAGCTCTTGGTATGGTCCCTTGAGTGTTGTAAAAAATTAATAAATTTTAGTTACGATGATGGTGATTATGAAGATGATTATATTGGCTGTAATGGAATAATTTCCAGGACATTGATTTAGGTAGGATACATCAGAACCAGCTAGGAGCGTGCGGTGCAGAACTATATAAAACTGTAAATGATATCATTGATTACAGGTGTAACAAATGATTGTACTGTTCAGTTAAGAATAACACTGGATTCAAATATCTACAAGGAGATAGAAAACTAAAGATGGTGCTGTCATTCCCAAATTAGCAGGATAGTGTTTGAATACTCACCAAGTTATCAGACGATATCATAGGACCATGCAGAGTTTAGCCTAGTGTCCTTCCAAAATTGATCTAAAACATAATCGTCAGACTGGGAGGCAGTAGGTCACAGATACTTGTCTGTGGAAAATGGGACTATGTAACATTTTCTCATACTAAACAAAGATTTGTACAAAGTAATTTGTAACGAATAAGACAGTTTAATATAATGTTATTAAATGTCTGTCTCCTATAGCCATTTTGAATGATCTCATGAAATATAATGAAATGAGAAGAAAGGTTTTGCCCAATGCCTGTGCTCCCTTCAAAAACTATTTACAGACATTAATGTCACTAGTCCTCACCAGGGGTGGCAAAAATTTTTCAGTCCATTGAAACTCTAATCAATTGGTATGGAAGGTTTATGGCCTTTAGTTGGCAAATAATTCTGAAATCATCCCCAGGCTTCAAGGAAGTGAGTGTTGGGATCATTGATTGTTTCCCACAGATGTAGTAGGGGTAATAGTGGCTTGGATTACCTGGTGTTTTCCATTCCTGCTGTCCCAACCAAGGTTTTGATAGTAATGGCAAAATGCTGGCTAAGAGCTTCTTGCTCTGAAGTGTGGAAAAGAATGGAAAGAGCCACATAACATGTATTATGTTCCAAATCCTCTCCTGAATTTGCTCTAAATTCACCACCTGAATGCAAACCTTCTGACCATAGGAAATGACTAGGCTCCTGGAAAGGCTGCTGCTTCTTCAATAAAAAATAACTGATTCATCGTGGCTGCTGCTATTTAAGGTGAATTCAAAGGCTATTCCTCTAAACAGGAGGGGATGTCAGTGATTGTCCTGGGAAATACTGTAGGGGAGTATTGAGTGTCTGTTTTTAGTAAAACAAATGACCCACTTTAAGGTTAATCTTTCTAAATCCAACCAACTTAGACCATTTCAAACAGTATACTGAATGAAAGCATCTACACAGGATATACCAGAGAGGAAAAGTTGTTCTCCTTGGCACCTACTTAGCCTAGGTTAGCCTTACATGGCACAGTATTGTCTTGTCTTATTCACAAATTCAGTATACCTGTCATCGCTGTAATTTCTTTCCATATCAATCAGCAGAAAGAAGTTAAACCCATACTATTGTAAAAATGCATTTTTTTTTAAACAGCGTTGTTAAGTAAAATGTCCTGGGTGTCATTTAATTCAGATGGATGAGATTAAAGCCAAGGACAGGATCATCTTTTCCCTGGAAAAGGAACTGGAGACTCAAACTGGCTATGTACAGAAACTCCAGCTGCAGAAGGAGGCTTTGGATGAACAGCTCTTTCTGGTCAAGGAGGCCGAGTGCAACATGAGCAGTCCGAAACGGGAAATTCCGGGAAGAGCAGCGGATGGCTCTGAGCACTGCGGCAGTCCTGTAAGTCTGTCCGAGCTGAAGTGAAGAACTCGGGAGTCATCTTTTATTTAGCTCCCAAGTTTTACTTTCCACTTAAGCTCTCTTCCTGTTTACTACAAAGAAATCAATTCTCCCTCCTACTATAAAACCAGCTAGTATCTTGGGAACAGGGTTTTCTAAACTCATAGACAACAAAGTAGTCTGCACTGCATTAGCAGATCACGAGAGAATTACTGGTCTTTTTAAATCTTTCATAGAATTTTTCTAGCCGTGGGATATCTATGCAAACTTCAGCCCCTTGTAAGTACCATAAATTAGATGAAACTATTTTGCCTCTTGCCAAGACTGGTAATTTTCCCTTGTGTAAAAATGTTGGAAATTGGCAAAGATGGTTGTCATCTGCAGGGGTCAGAATATATAACTGTATAAAAGACTAAACCACTTCAATCATCATCTGAAAGCTCCTAGTCTGATTGAACTTGCCACTTATTACCCTGGATTTTCATCATTTTATATGAGAAATTATTTTCAGAACTGCAGACATAGAAATCGGCTTGTATATAGTTGACTTTCATAAGGTATACCTTTCAAATTATTTAGCTGCTAAAAAGATGAAAATGTATTATTTAGGAACAGTGAGAGGTTCCAAAGTAGTACTTAGAACCAAGTAATGAATAATTTATGAGTTGGTATTCAGGATATATATATCCCAGTAGGTGGCAGAACCAGGATTTAGCAGATGTAAGTTTTCGTTCTATCACTGACATTTACCTGCAGTGCAGCAAAATTGTCAAGAGAATGGGTTCTAGAGTCAGACTCTTCAGTTTACATTCTGAATCTGCCACACACCGGATGACCTTGGGCAAATTCTTTTACTGTTCAGAATTTCGTCATCTGTAAAAGAGACGCCATAGTGCTACTTCGTAAGGCTGGTCAGAGGTCTAGAAGAAATGGTATGTAAAACTTTGAGCATAGTGTCTGGCTCATAGTTAACATTTAATGCATATTAATTACAGATCTATGGATAGTAGCCACAAGACCTTGAATGAGTATGACCTCTCTGAATCTTCCCTGTTCTGCTGAATCCTCTAGGATACTATGAATCTGGAGTTACAATGTGTGGGAAACTGCTTTGTCAACAGTATAGCACTCTCAAAGTGTAAGATGATAATGGAATTGCAAGTCTATAATGGTCCTGTGGACTCTGGAGCATAGAATTAATCCATGATGCCATCTGTAAAGTGATCCATGTCATTTATGCCAGTGGGGAAGCCAATTGTTCTGGGCAAAATGTACTAGCTGTCTTATAATCTACTTCCTTTTATACGTGAAGGCAATGTACCAGCCTTCTCACACTGACCTTTTTTATCAGGAATACTTAGGAATTTTTAAAGCCCAACCCTACCTTCTACTCTTTGGCTGAGTATAATAGGACATCCGTCTTAGCTCTGGGAAGCAGTGTGCAGCCATGACATAAGAGATGCTTCTTGAACCTCATGGAATTATGATATGACCCTGGCCTCAGAGCTCACAGATCTGATAAGTTCATCTAACCATCTACTACTCCTCCTGCCAGGAGTCAGGACTCCAGAGAGTATCTGCCACATGGAATTCACTAGCAATTTCAACCAGACTTGGTCTTCAACCTAAACAGTGAATGTGGAGGGTTAGAAGAGGGTAAATATTTACTCTTCTCTGAACAGAGAACATTTTAGTCTCACTTCATAAGCCAGAGGAAAGGTACCAAGCCTCTTACTTATTTATGAGTGGAATTCCAAAACTTTGTGAAAAGTGTTATTGAAGAAATACCCATTTCAATTTTCCTGTGTAGGATTTGAGAAGAAATCAAAAGAGAATAGCTGAATTGAATGCCACTATAAGAAAACTAGAAGACAGGAATACCTTACTGGGAGATGAACGAAATGAACTGGTGAGTTCTGATCGGAATTATTTAGTTAGTTAGTTGGTTAGGTAGGCATTTTGTTTAAAAAAGTATATATGATGTTGTAGAAGTATAACATTATAAAGAAAAACACGGAAATAATAAAGGTACAGCTTAATAAATACACCCAAAGTGACACACCCATATAACCACCCAGATGAGGGTATGGATTATCAGCAGCTCAGAACCTCCCTTTCTTGTGACCTCTCCCAGTCACCATCCTTCTAGAGTTAATCGTGCTAGTGAATTCTATCGCTAGAGAGGTTCATCACCATTTTTTAAATGTTTTATAAGAGACATCATACATAAATTACTCTTGCATGTCTAGCTTTTCTACCCAGCATTACATTTGTGAAACTCATTCATTGTACTGCATGTATAATTCATTCATTTTCTTACCCTGTTGTACCTAGTAATACACCACTGTATATTTACTCTTCTGTTGTTAATGGACATTTATATTGTTTCTTGACAGTTTTAATGTTAATGGTGCATGTCTTTGGTGAGAAGACATGTTCATTTCTGGTGAGAATATACTAAGGAGCAGAATTACTGAATCAAAGAGTATGCATATGGTCAGCTTCACGAGGTACTGCCAGGTTTCCGCACGTCTTATAGCAATCACATTCCCACCAATAGTGTATGAGAGTACAGCTTCTCCACATCTTTGCCAGCATGTACAGATAATTGATCATACTAGTCACTTTGGTGGGTGTGAGCGAGAATTCTTACTGTAGGATTTTGATTAGTACTTTCCTTAATACTGAGGTTGAGTGATTTTTCACATATCTATTGGCCTTCTGGGTATCCCTATGCAAGTTGCCCTTTGTCTTGTATAAAAATTTTCTTTTGTGCTGCCTTTATTTTCTTATGAAGAATAGGAATTCTTTACATAATTTTTGGATACTTGTATTTAAAATATCTTGCTCTGCACCTTACATTTTACATTCTTAATGGTGGCTCTTGGTACAAAGAAGTTATTTCCAGCCTTTCCTTTTTTTCAAATATATGCATTTTAGGTTATAAATGTCTCTAAGCATGACTAGCTTCATCCCATATGTTTTTTTAATGTCATAGTGTATTGCTATTTAGTTCAAAATCTTTTCTAACGTAGGATTTCTTCTTTGCCCCATGGGTTACTTAGCACTAAAGGCTTAACGTCAAACATCTGGAGATTTTTGAGTTACCTTTCTGTTACTGATTTCTCCCTTAAATCCACTATAGTCAGAGAACATACTTTGTATTATTTCTTTTTTAAGTTGAAATGTAGTTGACACATAATGTTATATTAGGTATACTTTGTATTATTTCATTCTTTAAAATTTGTTGAGATTTGCTTTATGATGCTAGCCTATTGTCAGTTTTAGAAACGTTCCTTGTCCCCAGGAAAAGAAGGTATACTCTGCAATCCTTGCATGCATTTTGAATCAAGTTCATTAATCTCCTATGTCTTTATAATGTTTTTGTGTGCTTCTTCTCCCAGCAGCTTTGTCCATTTCTATTCTTAGTTCTGTTGATTCTGCTTTATGTATATTTGAAGCCATGGTACTAGATACAGATAAATTAAGATTTGTTAAATGCTTCCATCATGAATTTTTATCTTTAATATTTCTTAAAGTCTTGGTCTGATGTTAGTGGAGCTATATCAGAATTTTTCTTTTAGTAGTTTCATAAATATCTATATTGACTTTGAAACTTTATAGTATTTAAGCCGTATCTCTCTTTTTTAACGTTTATTTATTTTCGGGAGAGTAGAGGGGTGCAGAGAGAGAGGAGGACAGAGGTGTGCTGGTAGCAGCAAGCCTGATGCAGGGCTCAAACTCACGAACTGTGAGTTCATGACCTGAGCTGAAGTCAGACGCTCAAGCAACTGAGCCACCCAGGTGTCCCTAAGCTATACCTTTTAAAAGGAACAGTTCTTTGGGGCACTTTGGATCTGTGGTTACTGATGTATGGTATGGTAGAATTACTGATATCTCCTTTTATTTGTGTTTATCTACGTATTCCATAAGTAGCATCTACTAAGTAAATTTATTTAAAACCCGGGATACCTGGGTGGCTCAGTTGGTTAAGCATCCGACTCTTGATCTCAGCTGAGGTCTTGACCTCAGGGTCATGAGTTAAAGCCCAGCATTGGGATGCACACTGGGTATGGAGCCTACTTAAAAATAACTATGTAAAATCCTTGTCATTGACCTTCAGAAAAGAGACAAAGTTTAAAATAGCAAACCTAGTGGAATAATTTATTTGCCCTTGTATGTGCTCAATATTTAATATGTTTGCTTCAGATACTGAAGCTTAAAACTCAGGATTAAATGAGGTTATGAAAAATTTTGGCCTTGGATATAAAATGAGTTTTCAAATGACAGGATATAGTTGGGGAGTACTGTTTTAGAATCACACAAGCAGCTTTTTCAAATATTTATAGGTAGCTAAGTCTCCTATCCCAGCGCTTCCAAAAATGTTAGATTCTCAGAAATAGGAGCAAGTACTTTAAACAACCTTGTCAGAGGGTTCTGACATACCCCACCACTTTTCCTGCTTCAGTGACCCCTCTCCCAATACATATCACTCAGAATCATTAGTATAAAGTGAATGAACTAACCTTCGGAACTTTAACATGGAGATCCATTAGGAATAGGGAGACCATAAAATATGCCATCCAAGTGGGAGAGTTTGGAGAGTAAAAGGGATGAAGACTATTAACAATTACCCCCAAGACAGCATTCATAACCTTAGACCAGTGGTTCTCAGCTATAGGCAATTTTGTCAGTATCTGGAGACACTTTTGATTGTCACAACTGGGAGGATGTTACTGGAATCTAGTGGACAGAGGCCAAGGATGCTGCAAACATGGTACCATGCACAGGACATCTCCTCGTGGCAAAACCTGTCCAGTCCTACATGTCTAGAGTACAGAGGTTGAGGAACCCTGCCTTAGACTAACAGGTGAACCAGAGTATGGTCACTCTTCATTATGGGTGGGTAAGAATACAATCATACTTTGCCTAGGCTTGGTGAGAATTAAATGTTCTCAAATACAAATCTCAATCGAACTTTGAGAGTAAGTTGGGTTTTGTTGTTGGTGTTGTTGATGTTGTTTACTTCAGTAACATTTTCTTAAAAATAAACATCTTTGGGGCACCTGGATCTTGGGGTCATGAGTTCAAGCCCCAAGTTGAGTGTCGAGATTACAAAAAATAAACTTTAAATAAATATATAAATAAAAATAAAGGGCTTTATTGTGGTTCAGGTATCTTAGCAAGATCTCTCATGGAAGAACAGACTTTGGCAATAACCAGGCTGGGGTTTGGGCCCTGGTTGCCCTACTTAGTGATGTGTGATTCATATGAGCTGCTTTATCTCTCTGAGCCAGTGAGGAGTCACGATAGGCCCAAGAAGAGGTATGAGCAGTGTGAGATTGTGGCTGAGTATGTAACTACTGAGCTACAGTAATCCAGGATGAGCAAGGTGTGCAACTGTTCTTCCCGAGCATTTCTAAAAGTAGAACCTTGGTAGCTTCTCCGTTAAGGTAATACATCGAGAGTTGGAAAGTCTGTGATGAAAAACCATTAGGGGTACCTGAGTGGCTCAGTCAGTTAAGTGTCTGACTTTAGCTCAGGCCAAGATCTCATCGTCTATACGTTTAGGCCCTGCATCAGGCTCTGTGCTGACAGTTCAGAGCCTGGAGCCTGTTTTGGATTCTGTGTCTTCTTCTGTCTCTGCCCCTCCCCTGCTCACACTCTGTGTGTGTGTGTGTGTGTGTGTCAAAAACAAATAACATTAAAAAATTAATAGAAAAACCATTAGAAGAAACAAAACAAAGCAGTCGTGCTATTAAATGAAGGACAAGAATGGTCAGTCCTAAGATACATGGTGAAGCGGAGAAAAGGTGGCCCCAGATGGGCTTTCCCTCCTTCCACCCCGACATCCACTCCAGCACAAGAGACAAATTGTAACTTATGTCTTCCCAGTTAAAACGTGTGCGGGAAACCGAAAAACAATGTAAACCTCTTCTGGAAAGGAACAAGTGCCTCGCCAAGAGAAACGATGAACTAATGGTGTCTTTGCAGCGCATGGAAGAGAAGCTAAAAGCCGTGACGAAGGAAAATTCAGAAATGGTGTGTATCAGAGACTCAGAGAAGCTGCAGCTTCTGTCCTTATATTACTCCAGTACCAATCTTATTGTTTTTTCCCAGTTGGTTTTTAAAATACAATGCTGGTCATGAAGGTTTGGGTTTTCCCTCTGTAAGCAAGGAACCTTAAAGGAAGAAAGTAAGAGAAGGTTGCTGGCTCTGAATTTTAAGGGGCTTCTAAATTTGCAGAAGAGTTGGAGTGTTTCCAGGAATCTGTACACTTTCCAAAATCTCCCAAATACAGAAGCAAACTTCCAACATAGCCCTCAGCCACAGAAACTTCCAAGAATTTCACTAATGTGGTCTTTATAGAACTGTATATTGGGTACCTCTCATCTTCTAAAACCTTGCATAAGAGCTGAGAAATAGCTGCCATCATTTGCATTCTGTATGGATAGGTGATGAGCTCATCCACTCCTTCACAGACTTAAAACACAGCTATAGACATCTTCACACATTCCCAGTGATTTTGACTTGTAGCAAATAAAATGTGCTTGAGGGTTTGGTGTATAGATGAACCTGAGAAATATTCACGTTTAGCTAGAGTCTCATAAAGTTTCCAAAGATATTTTATGTTAACTACTAAAGTTTGGAGTTAAGTCTTTACCTATACTTTCTTCTTTTCCAATCCAGAGAGAAAAAATAACATCCCATCCACCCTTGAAGAAATTAAAATCACTAAATGACCTCGATCAAGCTAATGAAGAACAAGAGACAGAGTTTTTAAAACTTCAAGTCATTGAGCAGCAGAACATCATTGATGAGCTCACAAGGGTGGGTCTTGATCAATCCATAAACTCTAAGCTGTTCCCAAGGACAAATAGCCAAGAAATCAACAAATGATGGAAGTGCTTGATAATTTCTTCAATCGCCCCAAAGGCCCAAGTTTACATCTTCAGTATATAAATAAGTTGAAGAGACTGTATTCAAAGATTACTTTATATTATTAAACTGTTTAATACATTTTCAGTTATGATCCTTTGCTAGCTAATTTGATAACACAAATAATAGCTTCAAAGTACCTTAAAAGAACTTTCAAATGCATCGTTATGTGAGTAGAGAGGTAGTGTGGGTATGCCTTATGATTGCCTTCCCATATCAAGAATCTGAACATAAGGGATTAAATATTTTGCCAACAATAACAGGACCACATGCCACTTATTTCCCAGTATTTAATTCAGTGTCTATGTCTAGTACTTACATGCAGTTTAATAAATATTGGTTGAGAGGCGCCCGGGTGGCTCAGTCAGTTAAGCATCCAACTTCTGCTCAGGTTAAGTTCAAGCCCCTCACAGTGAAGAGCCTGCTTGGGATTCATTCTCTCTCTCCCTCCCCCGCACGCTCTCTGCCCCTCCCCCACTCACATCTGCACACACATGCTCTCTCTCTCTCTCACACACACAAAATGAATAGATAAAATTTAAATGAATAAATGAATAAATAAATAAATATATATATTTGTTGAATGAGCAGTGACATCATAATTACATGACACAGTGGAAGTTTCAGTTCCAGTGCACTGACCTTGACTTTATAGTACCTACTGAAGTAGGTAGAACACTTAGTATTCCCATTTACATCTGGCCAAGGCCTCTTTTACCAACAGCAGTGGACTAAGCCCTTTAGATGCCTTTGGGTTTCCTCTGTGCCTTTCAGTCTTTACAGGGTGGGGGCGGTTAGGCAGATATCTCCAGAGAAGGGTGAGCAAGATGATGTCCTGCCGTTGAGGGAAGAGAAGATGATAACTTCTGTTTGTAACTATTTGTGGATTACCCTTTTTAAATGGTCTCAGTTCAGTCCATGTTATAATGCATATAGTATATTAGGAGGATAATCTGAGTATAAACCTTCAAAGTTTCAGATATGTTGAGGTTGTATGATCAAAGTATTTTTACAAGGTGGGAAATCCAAGAAGTTAACATCACTGACTTTAACCAGACTGTTAATAAAACAGGTGAAACACTGTGCCTCTTACTTCACATCCATATCCTTCATAACGCTTAAATCACAGGTTCACTCAGCCAAGAATTTGCTCAACTTCAGGTATCTAAGCTTAAAGCTAAAAGTTTCTTACAGGATTTTGACATGTTGAGGCATGTCATCGAGCCTTTCGGGAAAACTGTCACCTATTTAATCTACCTTTGAATTTGCACAGTAAATACACAGAGTAGTTAGTGGGTGAGCACCCAGTTCCCAGGAGATTTCCATCCACAACAATAATGAATCAGGAAATCAGTCATTATTTCTAGACATTTCTTGAGATTCCCAGAACATTCCAACAAGAACGACTGCCCCTTCCTGAACACATAAACAAAATAAAGAGCCACTAGATGATTCCAATTCAGTAGGCACTCCTGTTTCCATCGTCAGAGGCTGCTAGTAAGAACAAGTGTCTAAGAATAGTCAAAAGACAGTTTTCTGTGCCTTCAAGTGATTAAGGCAAAGAATAAAGTTTTTAAGTATTTTTTAATACCTAAATATAAAGTAATTTGAAAAATTACTGAAAAAAAAGTGAAAAATTGTGCTTTGGGAAAATAGGAGTAACTCTTTTCAGGGTTACTTGATCTTCAAGTATAACAAAGGATTCTGATGAAAAAGACTATGCCCTTCCTGATTGGGAAGCTCTCAGATCCACACAGTTTACCAAGAAAAGCTGTAGAGTATTTTTACTATAAAAATATGTAAGTAAATATGGGATACTGGCTGGCTCAGTCAGAGGAGCTCGTCGTGACTCTTGAGCTCAGGGTCGTGAGTTCGAGCCCCATGTTGAGTGTAGAAACTACTTAAATAAATAAAAGCTTTAAAAAATCTAAGTATTAAACCTAAAGGTTGCCAAAATTATAATACACAATCTTACTTTAAATAGAAATATGCAATGACTCAGGCAAAAACCAATTCTGTCATTAAAAAAAAAAAAACTAGGGGAGCCTGGGTAGCTCAGTCGGTGAAGCGTCAGCTCAGGTAATGATCTCACAGTCTGTGAGCTCAAGCCCTCACCAGGCTATGTGCTGACAGCTCAAATCCTGGAGCCTGTTTCGGATTCTGTGTCTCCCTCTCTCTCTGCCCCTCCCCCACTCATGCTATATCTCTCTCTGTGTCTCCCTCTCTCTCTGCCCCTCCCCCACTCATGCTGTGTCTCTCTCTCTCTCTCAAAAGAATAAACCTTAAAATTAAAAAAAAAAAAAAAAAAACCTATAGGAAGATATTTACCAACTCATCACCTAAAAAGCTTCATCTGTTTTCCAGGACCGAGAAAAGCTCATCCGTAGGAGAAAACATAGAAGAAGTTCCAAGCCAATTAAGGTAATGGGAAAACTAGGTTATCAGGTTTTTGTCACAAATACTGCCAGAGAAGTGAGGCTTGCCAAGGAATCTTCCTGCAAATATGTGATAAATCAGATGTTCCTAAACTGCAGCAAGCCATGGGCTTTATTTGCTAGAAGAAAATCTCTTCTCCTGACAGTTCTTAGAAGTCCCCAAATGATTGTGTTATGGATTTTAACCTTTAAGGTTTGCTTTCATATGAGCCTGAGTGGAAAAAAGCACTTATGTTTGATATAGAAAGCATTATCTGACAAGCTAGAGAGTCAAACTCCAAGAACATGCAATAGGTACCTATGATTTAATGCCTCCCAGTGAACAATATTAGTGTCTCATACCCACCCTATAATTGATTAATATATTTTTTTATTCACTTGGACAATATTACTGATAATGGTTTGATTTTATTTCATTATTCACTTGGATAATATTATTGATAATGATTATTAGTAATGGTACTCTCAGGGGTGCCTGGGTGGCTCAGTCGGTTAAGTGTCCAACTCTTGATTTTGGCTCAGGTCATGATCTTGTGGTCATGAGATGGAGCCTCGCATTGGGCTCTATGCTGATTGTGGAGCCTACTTGAAATTCTCTCTCTCTCTGCCCCTACGATGCTATTCTCTCTCTCTCTCTCTCTCTCTCTCTCTCTCTCTCACTCCCACTCTCACACTCACTCTCTCTCTCTCTCTCAAACAAACTTTAAAAAATTATCATTAAAAAAATAATGGTACTCTCAGTCTACCAATATTTGTATAGCCTCTTACAATCCACAAAGTTTTGTTATTTAATTTGTCTACTTGATTTTGTTTTTATCAAGTACATCATTTGATTTGGATATGGAATTGGATGATAAAACTTAAGATTTGTCCATCTCACACAGATGCCTGGACATTAGGTCCCTTGATTATACTTTAAATACTGAAAAGAGTATTCTATGAAGAGACCCACATGTTAATGAATATTCCCCCAAAACTTCAGAAGTGTGAAATAATGTGGGACAAACTTTTATTGGAATTATTCTTTTCATGCCCTAAGTTTTTATTTCATCCAAGAAGCACTAACAGACCCGTCTTCAGTGTCCATTTGCACCTATGCCAGTCAATGGTGCCTTCATAATATGTTGACTTTCTCCACTTCTCATCATGTCAGTAAATATGTACTTTCCCTCCCCTAGAGGCCTGTTTTGGACCCATTTATTGGCTATGATGAGGACTCCATGGATTCAGAGACATCATCTATGGCCTCGTTTCGAACAGACCGAACACCAGCTACTCCTGATGATGACTTGGATGAAGTAAGCTTTTCCACTTCCCTAGTCTTTTGTGATATTGTCACCAAATCTCTCCTTTAAGGTAGAGAAAAGACTTGCACTTCTAATATCCTGTATGAGCTGCACAAATGATCACATAATAGTGAACCCTTTTGACTTTGTTACCTCTTGGAAAATAGCTTCGCTTGTGTCATGTAGCCCTTTTAACAACTTGTCTAAAGTTCTGTTCTGTAACTTGAAGACTTAAAAAAAAAAAAAAAAGTCCCTTTTCTGGACTGCCTGGATGGGTTAATCAGTAGAGCATGCAACTCTTGATCTCAGGGTCATGAGTTCAAATCCCCTACTTAAAAAAGAAAGTCACTCTGCCAAATTCTTCATCTAAGGAAGGTGTGAACCAAGAAACAAGCTTAGAAGAGCAAGCTTCTCGATACAGTTGAAGACAGGGTTTAGCAAAATGTGCTCTGTAGACTGCTTTATCAAAATCATTTAGGGGGATGCGATCACTATCACTAGAGCCCGAACATTCCTGGGCTCTACCACACAACTCCTGACTTAGGATCTTGTGGGTAGAAACCTTAACTCTGCGTTTGTCAAAAAACTCCCTGGTGATTGTATTATGCTCTGAAGTTTGAGACCTAAAACTGTAAAACTATGTTATTATAATTTATCTCTAGAAGAATTTGTTGGATTTGCATGTATTGAAAAGAATAGATGTGCTCATTTTGGCAGCACATATACTAAAATTGAAAAGAATTGAGACTAAAACTCTTAAGTATTATTGACTCACTTTTATATCCAGACTAGGTACAATTTGAGTCCAAAGTGGACTATTATCCAAGCCCAAATGAGCAATCATCAGAAATGTATAAATAAGCAAATGTCTCTTATTAACAAATATTGAGTACTTCTGCAGTGTCCATCTTGAAAGTATACTATTCATATCTATTAAAATTAAGAATAAAATCACACCAAATCCAGTATCAGACATTTACTTCTTATAAAGTAGGAAAAATGTCAATATTTCACACTGAACACAGGACCAGAACATAACATAATTATTTTTCGGCTTTTTTTTTTCACCTGAAGAGTTTAGCAGCTGAAGAATCAGAGCTACGGTTTCGACAATTAACAAAAGAATACCAGGCCCTCCAGAGAGCATACGCCCTCCTACAGGAGCAGACTGGAGGCATCATCGATGCTGAAAGAGAAGCCAAGGTCAGTATCCATCCAGCGAGCATGCCCTGAATTGGCTTGCAGCAGTCACCACATAAAAGTACCATGGACACAAAAATATCAATAGGCTAGCTTTCCCTCAATCCCTCCCTCCACTGTGGCTTTTGAACTGTTTCATCTTTTATGTCAACAAACCTTGGATCTAGAGACATTAGAACCAACTTAGATCGATGCTTTTGTTCCTGTAAAGATAGTAGTTCTTATGCTTGCTATATGAAAATTCTATTTTCAAAGCTAGACAATATTGAATTTTGATAATCCACTTTATTTAGCTTCTTGCTTGGAAAAATATACTTTTGTGGTTAGCCAGTTTCATTTCTAGTTAATAAGTGCACAGCATTACATCAACAGCTCACAAAGAATTTTCACTGACAATATCTCATTTAATTTGTAGGACAGCACCCTAAAGCAGGTATTTTATAAAAGAGGAGTTTAAGGCTCTGAGAGGTTAATTGACTTACCCAAGATCACACAGCTAATAAATGGAAAACTTGGATTCCAGCTAAACTCTTACTGTGTCAAATGTTCTTTTCATTACGTTAACAACTGCCTCACAGTTTTTTAAAAAATAGTTATTTTCAAACACACACACACATACACACACACACACACACATGCAGTACGAATGCTTAAAACTTATTGAGTGCTTTCTGTGTTCCAGGCATTGTTCTAAGCACTTTATGTACATTATCTCATGTAATCCTAAAATAACCCTATGAGTTATAGATTATTATTAGCTATGTCCTTTTTATAGGAGAGGAGATAATAGCTTAGTAGGAGAGAAATGTAGATTAGCTAGGTTAAAACCCCGGTATGTAGCTTAGTTAGATGAAAGCTAGGATATGAACCTAGTGTTTCTGAGTTCACAGGCAGAACCACCATGCCATAACAGCCTTGTAGATTCATTTACATGGGGCAAGAAGGAATATGACCACCCAGTGACTTTATCTCACTTTCAATTTAGAGGGTCTGTAGTGTGCTGAGGAATGTCATAAGCTACTGTTAGTTGTTTAGTGGGACAGGATAGATGTTATAGTCATGTATTTTAAATGGAAACTTACATACATGCACATGTTTATACATAACTGAATACATGTTTTTTAAAAATCACTGCAATTTGGAATACAGTCATTAGAAAGGGATGTATGTGTGTTCCTTCGTGTTTATGTTTTAATACCTATAAGTTGTGGTTTTCATTATCAGTATGTACTAAGCATTCTCACCAACATAGGATTGGTCAATTAAAATAAGAGCATACATCTTGTTTTTGAAGAGGTGATGATGTAGAAATTTTCTCTCATTTCACCCTCTCCTCTAAATAAAGGTTTAGCATTATCTCTGGCCAAAAAAAAACTTAATCATTTTAAACAAAATAGTCTAAAACAAATCAATATGTTAGAAAAAGAACAATAGAATAAATTCAAATAAAGTGAAATGCAAAAATAGATAATATAGATGAAAGAGCATCAATGAAAACAAAAGATTTAATCATTGATTGTACTCAATCCTCATTTAAAGCTAAAATGATTCTTAGCAAAATTAAGCTTAGAATTTTTTTTTAACCTGATAAAGGTAAATATAATCTTCAATTGTCCAAAGATACATGCTCCTCACCATGAAGGATAAGAGAAGGAAGGGTGCCTGGCTGGCTCCATCGATAGCTGGCATGCAGCTCTTGATCTTAAGGCTGTGAGTTCGAGCCCAATGTTGGGCATAAAGATTACTTTTAAGGAAGGAAGGAGTAAAAGAGAGAAAAGGATACCTGCCGGTGCTGACGTTATTCTACACTGTAATAAAGAACCCATATAGATCATAAGAAAAGAAAAAATATGTATATGGGCAAAAAACCTACTAATTTTTCACAGAGAATAAGATCCTGTGTAGGGAGAATACAAGAGAATCTGAAAACAAATGAAGTCAGATTGTTCCATAGAAGGTCAGTATCCACAGATGCCTGGGTGGCTCAGCCGATTAAGCATCGCTCACGTCATGATCTCACGGTTCGTGGGTTCGAGCTCCATGTTGGGCTCTGTGCCGATCAGTGTCCAAAACCGCTCACACACACAGACACACACACACACACACAGATACACACACAATACATATATGCATGCATCTGGATTTAGATTTAAAGCACAAAGTTGGTTCTAAAAGAATGGCAAGTTTTGAGAGGGGCAAAATGAGAGAAGACTTTCCAGAAGGGGAATTTATTCAAATAAACAGAGAAGTGGAGAGTTACAAGGCATATTTAGGAAATAAGGAGATCACCAGCAGATCAGGGGTGAACTTTGTTGGTGAGTAGTAGGAAAAGACTGCAAATATAATAGGAGTTCTCATATCTCAGCTAACCAGTTTGAATTTTAACCCAATAATAAAGGGAACATTGAAAGTTTTAAGCAAAAATTTAGACCATAAAAATACTTTTTTTTTTCAAGTTTATTTTGAGAGAGAGGGAGAGAAGGTGAGTGGGGGAGTGGCAGAGAGAGATGGAGAGAGAGAAAATCCCAAGCAGACTCCATGCTGTCAGCACAGAGCCCCACGCAGGGCTCCATCTCATGAACCGTGAGATCATTGAGCCAAAATCTAGAGCGGATGCCCAACCAACTGAGCCGCCTGGGTGCCCCGACCATAAAAATAGTTTTAAAAGGATCTTTGGTCATAGAAAAAAAATCATTTTTCTTGCTTGTTGAGTGCTAATCAAGGAACATGAGGGGAGGAAAAATACTGAATTACCATTTTACTTACTGAGTTCTGGAATTTTGATTTCACTAGGCGCAGGAACAGCTCCAAGCAGAGGTGCTAAGGTATAAAGCCAAAATTGAAGATCTGGAAGCGACTCTGGCTCAGAAAGGGCAGGTAGGCATTTGGTGGCTAGCACTCCTGCAGATGCAGACAATTCAATCCGACCTTTCTCTAGACCACCCTGTGCATGGGCCGCACCCAGGACACGGCTTGGCTCTCCACAGTGACCTTTCTCACAGTGTGTCAGAATGTTCAGCTCTGTGTTTCTGTCCCTGGTGTTTTTCTGGCCAGAGTGTGAACCCAGCTACAACAATGAATGAGGCTGGGCCAGAGAGGGAATGCCAGAGGCAGCGGAGTGCTGTACAAATAGCCTAGAGTGGTCATAAGCTGCTAAGACAAAGACCCGCCCCTCAAGCTGCATTCTTTGCCTCTCTGCTACATTTATGGTTCTGCATTTTAATGTTTTCCATCCATATGTATCTAGCCTGTGTGCATTCTGACCCTTTTCACTTTTTGCCTGTGTGGTCACTTCTGAGTCCCCAGAAGGCTGGTCCTGGATTATTCAGACTGAAAAAGTTAGAGATAGTGAGTGACAATGAAGAGGGTGTTCAATTTTCCTGGCGACTTTGGCCCCAATGTCCTTGAATGAGGAGCTGACGGGGGTGGGTGTCATTTACCAGCCATCGGCAGGCCACCAGACTGGGTGAGAGAAGACAGATCTGGCAAAGTGGTTTGACACAGGCTCTTTGGTGCCACTCTGAAATGCTGACTGCGCGGTATTCTTTGTCAAACAGGATTCACACTGGGTAGAAGATAAACAACTTTTCATTAAGAGAAACCAGGAGCTTTTAGAAAAGGTATGTTGGACGCAACACCCTAGTGGGGCAGAGGAGAAAATGATGAGAGATCCAGGAGCAGCAGGGGGTCCTCTCAGGAGTGGCACAGGGGCTTGGGGGAGGGGAGGCTTTTCCGGCGCTGCGCTCTCCTCCACTGCGTGCTCAACTGCATCCCTGTCACCGCCATCACCATCACTTAGTGGCACGTGTGCATGGCTCTGTGCTGGCGTTGTGCCGACTTGAGAGGATGTGATCCCAGAAGCCTACTGATTTGTTAACCATATATATATATATATGTATGTACTGTACAGGTACTGTACATATATATGTATATATATGCACACACCCACACGTGCACACATCCTATGTGGTTGTCCATCTACAAAAACACGCTATGACTAGGACTCGTTATTTTGTGCAAGGCAGTGACAGACTATAACTCCAAGAACATGCTGTACCCTAGTATAGACTGTGTTCTCACTTTTAATCGTTTTGCTAATCTTGGCTATTTATATACATGTGTATATAAATATATATATATATTTTTTTTTAGAAAAAATGTTTTAAAACATGCATCCAAGGCACAAAACAGCATGTCCAGGAGGTTGTTCAACAAATCAAGATGCAAAAGCATGGTTTAGGCCCAATACATACGATTAATTCAATTATCTGAACACAGGCTTTGGATCAGGGCAGTGAAATACAACAGAGATCATTTTAAGTTCAAAAGTGGTTCTTTTCATTAGTATTTAGCTTCCATAAATCTTGTGAAAAGATTACAAAGTAACTTTAAATTGTTCTTGAAAGAAAAAAACCCAAAATTTGAAAGCCCATTTGAATAAGGGAAATAATTCTGTTGGTTCATCCAAAGCTTACATAGAAATTAGTTTAGCATTATTTCTGCCAATATTCACTAGGCTTGGCAAGTAGGAAAATCACCACCACCCTCTTGTAAGCATGAGAAGGGCAAGAAGATGCTTGTCCTCCCTCCTTTCTGGTCTAGCAAAGTCCTTATCCTACCTCATTTCTGAATGATGAGACACAGAGCAGATGGATGGAAGGTGGGTGGGTATTCCAGGATTGAGAACTAGTACTCTCAGAGACGTAAGGGGTCCCTATAAAGAAACTTCATCACACTTTAGCCCTGGTCTCTTAACTGCAACCCATGAGTCACTGACCTGATTGCTAGTGCTAAATACTCGAGCCAAACATCTCCCAAATATTCCATCTCTGATGCAAATTCAAGATTTTAGGGAGTAGAATCTCTTTATGTGATCTAAGTCAACTTCTAAAGACCTTTGGAAGTTCACTCAACCACAAAAATCTGAATGCAAATCTAAGTATAAAAAAACTTTACTACATTAATTAATGTTACTAATACCTACTGTTTCCCCATTTTTATTTTCCTTTAATTTTTCTATATCATCAGGCTATGAGAAAAAGAGGTTTTTAGTAGTCTCAGAGATGCCCAGTAATAAGTGTTACTACATTTCTTTATCACCTAAAACATAATTCTCATGTCTTCTGTCTGATTTCATTTGGTCTTGATTTCTTTGGGCTACAAGGAGAATTTGAGGGGCTCAAGCTTCTGAGAGTAAAAGAAAACCAAAATGATAAAAAGCTAAACATGCTATTTCAAGTGTGTATACTTGGGGACGTGAGACTCACCCTATGATAAAAAGCTCCTGGGTTTTTATTTCTCAGTTCAAGATTTTAAATAATTACTGTGCCTAAGGGCCCACCCATACAGCGTGTATCAAAGGCAGCCCTGAACCTATTACAGATCATGAAAATTTTCTGATCCCTGGTAGACATGGGCCTGTCTTACAGGGTGAGGCATATTTTACACAACTGACTTAATTCCAAGCTTCATCAGGTTATAGAAGAAGTCAAATAGGAAAACAGAGGGAAAAGGTGTCACTTCCAAATGGGTAAACAAAAGAAGCCTCTGCTGGTAGGGGATATTAGAGTTCCATGTTCAAGGAACATGGATTTCCTCACATAGAAAACGAAATGGGGAGAGCCCCTGTTAGGCAGAGAGATGAGTAAAGACACACTCCTGGCATAATCAGTCCATAGGGTAGATACAGGTTTGTAGATTCTTATGTGTGTGATCACATGTGAGTGTGTGTGTGTGTGTGTGTGCGCGTGCGTGCACGCACGCGCATCTAGAGATGACAGGGAGAATATTTAAGCCTGGAAAGCTAGGTGTTTGCATTCCATATTGACGAGTTTGGCTTTATTTTACGGGTAACTGGAACTCCACAAAGTTTTCTATATGATCAGAGCTACTTAGGTAAGATTTCTCCAACCATTTGTAACTCCAGAAACAAGAGATGTCCGTGTCCACCATTAAATTTAGTCCCAGGACGCTGTCCCTGACCCAAAGTAAGGGCCTAATAAGTACTCAGATTCACTACTCATAGGGTCCCCAGATGTTATGTCAATGAACGGAGGTCACCTTGTCTCATTTTCCTCTATGCACAAAAAGTTCAGCCAAAGGATAGGTAGAAGGAAAACCTAAGACTTCTTTTGCTCACGTCTCCTTGGGATTTTTTTTCATGGTCTAGATGATGTATTCACCAAGTAGACGAGTGCTCTCCATGCTTGCTTTGCTAAGTTGTAGACCGTGTTTGCAATGTTCACCTAACTTGAGGATTTACTTTATTAGATAGAAAAACAGGAGGCAGAAAATCACCGGTTACAACAAGAACTGCAGGATGCCCGAGACCAGAATGAGCTGCTGGAGTTTCGAAACCTAGAGCTAGAAGTAAGGCAATGATGATGATAATGATAATACAAATAATCATAACAATTAACATGCACTGAACACATCCTATGTGTGAGGTGCTGAATTAGGCATTTCAATGCGTACTTTTCTTGGGCCTCAGCGACCATAATCAAAATTTTATAGATGAGGCAACCGAGGTTAATCAACTTGCCCAAGACCCGTGACTGTAAGTGGTGAAGCACTGACGTGAGTCTGAATTGTCTGCTCAGAGACTGTGCTTTCAACACTATTGCCTTTAAGAGCAAGACTAATGAATGATTTTTAAATAATTTAAATAATGATTTCAAATTTCATCAATACTTCATTGCTTTTCAATAATCATTTCCATCCTTCATTGAATTTTGACTCATAAAAATGTTACCTCCATAATTATATTTCAGATTGTGCTATATACAAAAATATTTTGTTTGTATTCAAGACACTTGAATTTGTGAATAAACTTTTTAATCTATAATGCGCTTATGAAAAAGGCTAAGAAACAAGGTGACTCGTTTAAGGAAATAACTTGGTTAACCTGACCAAATTTCAGTGTTCTTTAATTTTTTTAAGTTAAACATATCAGTCAAATCAGATTTTGACTGTATCACACAGAATCTGGCCTAACGGGGTGCCTGGCTGGCTCAGTCAGTAGAACATGCGACTCTTGATCCCAGGGCATGAGTTCAAGCCCCATGCTGGGTATAGATATTGCTTAAAAAAATAATCTAAAACGAACATACATACCTGAGTTCTTTTGGGTGCCTTGCTGGCTCTGTCAGAAGAGCATGTGACTCTTTATCTTGGGGTCATGAGTTCTAGCCCCACACTGGGGGTAGAGATTACTTAAATATATAAAATATTTTTTTAAAAAAGAATCTGGCATAGGGTCTGGTTGAATGTCTGTTGATATGTAAAAGGTAAGAAAATTTCCCATTTGATAGCTCTGTTATTTTGCCAGCAGTTTCTTTTTGAGGTTTTCTTCAAATTAGATTTGGATAAAGTTGGTGTTCCTCCATGAAGAAGCGCTAAGTCGTCTTTGGTAGCCCACACATCTTCATCATAAAGCTTGAGTAGATTGAATATGCAAAAGACTGTTAGCTGCCATAAAACTTCATGGTCAAACAACCATTCTCTGTGATACCAGAAAGCTCTAAAATATTCATGTAGTTTAAATTGGAACTTCACTTCCTACATTTCTCTGATCAAAAAATTTGCAAGACTGAATGACACCATCTATAAATTCTTCTACCATACCTCTTAGTTGCTTTATCTATTCTTTTTCATTAAATTTAAGCATGAACATCTTGAGTCCAATTTTTTTTCCACAATGACTTTGATAAACTGCTGAAATAGTATAAAGAGAGAACATAGACAACTGGTTTAGCATTTGATCAGTTGTTGCTTTTTTTTAATTCCCGTATATTCTTCACTGTATTTCAAGGAAAGAGAGAGACGATCCCCTCCATTTAATCTACAAATTCACCCATTCTCAGATGGTGTGAGTGCTCTACAGATCTACTGTATGAAAGAAGGTGTCAAGGTAGGCAGATACTCAACTTTCTATGTTTGTAGAAAGTGGAAAAACTGGGAACTAGAAAAGGGGAGGTTGTTCATGACTTTTATTTTTCAGTCACTAGATGTCATTTTGATTTAAAAAAAAAAAAAACTGTATAGAAATTGAAAATAGTTGGATCTAGGGGTGCCTGGCTGGCTGAGTCAGTAAATCATGCAACTCTTGATCTTCGGGGTCGTGAGTTTGAGACCCACATTGAGTGTGGAGCTTACTTAAAATAATTTTTTTATTTATTAAAAAGATGTGTGACAGATGTATGAATAGTTAATAAAGAACACAGGAAATCATGATTATTTAGAACACAATAGCATAAGGAATGATGCAGTTTCAAATATTAAAATAATTACCCTTCATTATCTAGGGGAGATACTAAATAAATTTCATACTTCAAGAAACACATTTCAAGGATACCAGATAAAAAAGTATTTGTTGAGTCCCTTTGTTGTGCTGTTCTAAGTGCCATGGGATTCATAATCTTGGAATTTGATGTTAGAAGGGACATTGAAATCATCTGGTCCACCCTCTCTTTTGATATGTTTAATTTAGGGAAGATCTGTCTTTTGGAAGGATTTATGATTTATAACATGTTATTCATTTAGATAAAATGTAATTCTATCTTTAGGGATATTGGAATACATTCTAAACATTAAGGTTGAAGGGAGGTGGCTCCATCTCCTGGAAAATATATTGTCCTTCAATGTAATGAAATCACATGGTGAATACCTATCCAGGGGGGGAAAGCTGTGAAGCCTCCTGCTATTCCTGGTCTCTCCTTGACCTTGTGCATGGCCCTTCCTGCTCCTACTCTGAGCTGCCAGATAATACCTGCTTTCATTGCCTTCTTTCTCTCTACCTGTGGAATTGATCTAGACCACCCCCTTCCTGGTGGAAGGGAAAGGATATACTGCTATCTGAATGTGAGTAAGAGGAGAAGGTGGTACAAAAGGAGTAAAAAGCGGGAGGGAAATAAGGCAATAAAATTGTGCTTTCTTGTTTTCCATCCTAAACCTCTTTCACAGTGGCCTTCCTGGGCTGCACAAAAATTTGTAAACCAGAGCGGTTTTTTTTATTCAGCTCTAATTAAACAAAAAGCATTTTACTTGTCTTTTCCTTAGATACTTTTTCTTAGATAAATCACAAGCTAATCCAGTGGATGTAATTTATATGCAGGGGAATTTTTTAAAATGGAGTTCAGTTACTTCAGACTGACAAAAAGAAATACACTCTTTTTTCCGTAGCATGAAATTAATTCTAAAGGATGGAATGTGCTATATTTTTTCTATGTGGCAGTCAAAATCTCAACCATGTCAGAATTCCATTAATTAAAATGAAATTGGTTGATTATATTTATTACCTGTTACTTTTCTTTATACCTAAAATTTATCATAATTCAAAAAAATGATAATTAAGAGGGAAAAAATTAAAGAATTCCAAGTCCTTATAATAATCTACACTGTTTCGTATAGAATATCTTATCCTCAGGGTCAGCCTATGAAGGAGATATTTTGCAAGTGATGAATTTGAGAATGAACTGTTAGTTTTCTCAGGTTCACGCAATGTACAAGAAGCAGAGTGGCAACATAAAGCCACATGTACCTGATTGAAAACAACCCAAGGAAGTACAGTTCTTAACATGTCTTCTCAAACTTAAAGGTCAGGCACTGATAGAATGGTTAGCTGCATTTGTGTCTTTAACTTGAATGTATCTCCTTGTTATTGCAGGATGTGAAAATCCCTGATCTCATAAAGCAGCTTGATATCTTGGGTGATAATGGGGTAAGTAATGAATTGATTAAGGGCGGTAAAGGTACGAATTTGTCCAAAGAGAAGCTAGAAATACTTGCCATGCATCATGTGTAAAATAATAGCAGGTGAGATGCCACGTTCTCTTACAGATGTGGATCATGGAAGAGAATCAGTCATTGTTTATCAGACAAGATAGTTGAGGGTTCTATGAAAGGAAGTAGCAGAAATGGGAACTGGCAAAGTGCTTTTAGCGGGCTGGTTTCAGGTTTGAATGCCGACCACATCTGCGGTGATTAAAGCTAATTACCTTCTCACTGTTGCTTGGAGCCATCCAGCATGAAATTAATCAGTCATGCAGTTGCAAATGCTGCTAAGTAGTAGGGTTGGTGGCAGCCCCATAAAAATGGGCCAGGAAACTATAATCTCTTTTCTTTCTAAAAACACCTTCCAGGCAGGGTCAACGCATATTAATTCAGTGGGAGGACCGTTCATTGAGATACTAGATGAATGATGCATGTAGGTTGAAAGAGTCACACCATTTTTTGCCTTTAATGAGAGAAAAGAATCAGCTAAATCACATCAAACCATTCTGAAAAGATGACTTAAACTAAGTATGCCTACAGTGAAACAGAAATCAAGTTCATTTCAGAGATATAAAAAAATCACATTTAATGTACTTTTTACACGTTTTGAATGAATGTTTTGTTAAGAATTGTTACTAAGTGAAACAGAACAGTTGTTAACCTTCATACATGCCCAGGCAGTAGTGTCTATAGCTGGCAGTTAGTCAGTATTTTCTGATAGTGTAAATATTGCGTCTTCAGCTTATTTTCTTTCTTTTCTTGCTTCTCTCTCCCTCTCTCTCCCTCCCTCCCTCCCTCCTTCCCTCCTCTCTCTCTCTGTTTGGCAGAACTTAAGAAATGAAGAACAAGTGGCCATAATTCAGGCCAGCACGGTGCTGTCCCTGGCAGAAAAGGTAATAAATTCATCGTACTAACATTTAAATCATCTCATTGCCTGGCTTAACCCCTAAAGAGTAGGGTAGGGTTGAAGGACATTCTCTTTGCACATGACTTTGTGTTATTGAATACCTAATAAATGTCTTTTTTTTCAGGATGATACAACCCCAATAGAATGAGAACACACAAAAGAAAAGTCTACACACTGATTTGGGGTGGGTGGATAATTTTTGCTTTGTAGTCTCTTAAAAAAAAATGTAACTCTTAAAAAATGGAAAACTTTCTGGATAACATTATCCACGCAATCCCTCCCAAGCTAGGAAGCCAATAAAGAAGGTTTTTGTTGAGAGATTGTTAAGTAGGGAGCCTGGCTCTTTTTGTGGGCTTTTCCCTGGGAGCACACATAGCATTTATTTCCCACTGATTCTGTAACCTGGGGGTGGCTCACGGCTGTACAATTCAGAAAGTCCAACCTGGGGACTGTCAGCAGAGCCACACTGAGTGTGCTCTGGCCCCTTGTGTCTAAATCTGGTAAATGGCAGGAAGAGAGACAGGAGGAAAGAGCCAAGTGGAGAAGCCTGAGAAGTGGCTGTGTTCAGGGTGCATTGAGAATCAGCACATACTTGAGAGTTTTGTGCACATGGTTGGATAAAATGACAACTGTGTAAATTCCTTGAGAGGTTTTCTTAATTTCTAAATGCATAAAAAGTTTCTTAGTACAGGAAAGGAAACCATAAGAAAGCAAGTGATCCACTTTCTCTAGTCTGAAATAAAGAGAATCCTACAAGTCAAATGACCTAGTTGAGTTATTCAAACAATAGTGACATAAAGGAAAAAAATGTAGGAAGAGGGAAGGGCTGGTATAAAATAAAAGATTCCTTAAAAATTATTAAAATTTTAAAACTTATTTAAAATAATTTTTAAAAATTATTAAAATGATCCCCCTTTTGGATCCTGATTTAAGAAAACCAAGTGTGGAAAAAAAGACATTTTGCTGACAGCTGGAGAGATTTTAGTATGAACAAGGTATCAGATAACAAAAGGAATTAATGCTCATTTCACTACATGTAAAAATGGTCTTTGGTTATGGATCTTTTTGACAAAGCTTTATCTGTTAGGGATACATATTGAGGTATGTACATGTGAAATGATATCTGGGATTTGCTTTTTTAAAAACTTACTTCCCTTACAATTTAAATATAGACCCATCATTTTCCCTCTCCACAAAACATTCGTAACCTCACATTGTCCCTAACATAAGGTCCAGAATCCAGAACGTGCCAAGAGGGCCCCTAGGTCTGGCCCTTGCCTGCCTCTCCAGGATCCCTCTAGTTTCTTTGGTCCCTAGCTGAGGGCCAGCCATATACAAACCCATTAGGTGTCCCCATCTTCTCTGCTTCTGTTTCTCTCTCTCTCCATGTCTATCACTATTTCTATCCCTTAGGCCTTTATGTTGTTCTCTATGCCTGAAAGTTATTTCCTTTTCTCTTTTCTATGTTAGGCTGGCTCAATCTTGACTGTTAGACATTCCCATACATGGGGAAGCCCTCTTATTCACCCAAGCCCCGTTAGGCACTTTTTCTCTTTATTTCCACAGTGATCTGTGCATCTGCTACTATGGCTTTTAGCAACTACAGTGTGCTATTTGTTTTTTTATTGTTGTTGTATGCCCCACAACCACCTACCGCTAGACTTTAAGCTCCCTGAGGGTAACGGTGGTATCTGTTCATTCCACATTGTTTCCTTCGCTCTTCACAACAGTCCAGCACATCTAACAGGTCTTGAGCAAGTATTTACTGAAGGACTGAATAGGTGACTTTGTGAATGTCCACAGCGCAGTACTCCAGTGACGTGCTGCTGAAGAAAACATAGCTTGTACTCCCATATTTGCTACATTTATTTGTTGGTGATAGCCACAGTATCTCATTCCGTTGGACTCATAAAGGCCTACAGTTCTTTATTGAAAGAAAAGTCACATTAGTTTAGGGATATCAAGGAAACTTGGGCCAATATTTGTAAAAGGCAAGGACTGAGGATGTGAACGTCCAGCTTAGGCTCAGGTCAGGATCTCGAGGTCCATGAGTTTGAGTCCCACGTCAGGCTCTGTGCTGACAGCTCAGAGTCTGGAACCTGCTTCGATTCTGTGTCTCCTTCTCTCTCTGCCCCTCCCCCACTCATATTCTCTCTCTTTCTCTTTCAAAAATAAATAAACAGTAAAAAAAAAAAAAAAAGAAAGGAGGAATAAGGAAAATAAGGAAAAATGGGTCAGTATGCCTCACATTTACTTGATTGGCAGAAGATAATCTTCCATTCCCTGCCCTGTGTGTGTGATACAACTTGAACTTAACCATAATTAACACTTGCATAGTGCTTCATTTGTACATGGCATTTGTCTTGATACTACTGTTATAGATAAGGAACCTGAAGTGCAGAGAAGGCAGGTAACTGCCCCAGTCACCCAGCTCGAAAATCATGGGGTCAGGATTCACACCCAAGCAGTATGTTCCCAGAATCCATGATTTTAACCACTGCACCAAATTTCCCTCAGGCATTCTTTTGAAAACAGAAAGTGCCCTGTATAGAGCCTGTAGGAACTAATGATCTATTAGTGCTTTGGCAAATGAGTTCATGCCTCCACTTTCCTCCTTTGCAAGTCCTGTATGAAGGGTTCAGTTGAACATTTACAGAGAGATGACAGTGTGCTTAGCACTGAAGAAATGAATGAAGGACCAGATACACAGGGCACGAGGCTGTCCTTACAGTGCTCACAGTCTGTACAGTGACCTTTTGTGCAGATCTTTACAATTCACAAGTTAGAGTCACCTCCTACCTTTGAGGTTTACAGATGAACATTTCTATCTCCAAGTAATTCTAAATGTCAGCCTTGAAGTTTTGGATACCACAGTCTTGAATAGCATTCTGCTCTCAATATCCAGAGACTGAACGTAGACAAATTTCCAACAAGGAAATCCTATTCTGACTTTGTATTGATAAGAATAAGAACAGCGACCGTAAGTGAGAATGTGTTATGGACCAGGTACTGCACAAATGCCATTGTCCTCCCCACCACCAACTTTTATCCACTGTTTTCATTCTACACATGAGGACACTGAGGTGTGGGCTATTCAGTAACTTGTCCTGTGTCGAGTTATGCAAGTAAGAAGGGCTACAAGTCAACATACAAACCTGTATCTGAAGCCCATGACTGAACTGCTTTAATTTGCTGTACTCTTAAAAATATGGTTTTCTCAACGATAAATGGGCAGCAAGTGAAGGAAACATTTTAATAAAGCTTGATGGTCTTCAATTGCATTGAGACTATTTACCCATGTATTTGATGGAAATTTGCTTTAAGGGGAAATTTGCTTGTATACACACATATGTACAAGAACTAAGAGTAGCTCTTCCAGTCTCTCTGTGCATTTCTTCTTTCCCCCACATTTCTTACTGCTAAGAGGCTGTTGGACATGGTGTCACCTTGTGAATGTCAAGACTTTAGTATGTAGAAAAAATGCTCAGGGCACCTGGGTGGTTCAGTAGGTTAACCATCTGACTTCGGGTCAGGTCAAGTTCTGGTGGTTTGTGAATTTGAGCCCTGCATCGGGCTCTGTCCTGTAGCCTGCTTTGGATTCTGTGTCTACCTCTTTCTCTGTCCCTCCCCTGCTCACACTTTGTTTCTCTCTCTCAAAAATAAATATAAAAAAATGCTCAGTGCACCACATAATTTATCACAGATAAACTGAAATGAAACCGCTAGTAGTGAGGCAAATTCTAATAGTGTAGATGTACAAAAATAAATGTTGGGGCGCTTCGGTGGCTCAGTCTATTGAGCATATGACTCAATTTCAACACAGGTCATGATCCCAGGGTCGTGGGATCAAGCCATGAATTGGGCTCTGCACTGAGGATAGAGTCTGCTTTAGATTTTCTCTCTCTCCCTCTGCCCCTCTCCCCTGCTCACATGCTTTCACTCTCTCTCTCTCTAAAATGAATGAATGGATCAATGTTAACCAAAAACTAGAATTATTGTGTAGCTAGTACATGCAATACACTGTGCATAGTGCCTTGCATTAATTACATTCTGTAATCTTCATCTTATTAACCCTATTTCACAGAAAAGGAAGTTAAAGCTCGGAAAAATCATATTAAAAATGATCCTCAGAATATTAAAAAAAAAAAAAAAAAGCTCGGAAAAATCAGATAACATTTCAAGGCCAGAACAGCCATGAAAAGCTAGGATTGGGATTAGACCCAGGGTAGTCTGCCTCTAGAACTCCCACAATTATGCCCAGTTGCCTCCCTACATGATAAATTGATGTTTAACTTGGGAGAGACCTATTAAAATAATTTGTTCTATTAAACCATGTATGTGGTAAGATTATTACTCAAAATCTAATTATTCAAATTGTATTAATCAATCTTATTATTCAAAATCTTACTCAAAATCTAATTTTACTCAGGGTGTTGATCAATGTTAATATCAGTGCCATGTAAGAGGATGATATATTCTAAGTGTTAGGAAATGTAAGTTTTTTAATGTGATATAAAATACCTCCACTCAACAAAAATGATTCTTCAATACTTAGCTGTCATCAATTTCATACACTGAAAAATGGCTATTTCTCCAGTCTCACCTGGCCTTCTTTTCATTGTTTCCTCCAACCATGAAGAATTGGATATCTCTTCTGCTTGAAACTTTCCTGTAATTTTTGCCTAATCATCTCTGACTCAAATTGATCAGACTCCAGTGCAAGTGTCTCTTCCAAGAAAGCCTCCTATGATGTTCTCTAATGAAGGCAAAAAACATGTTGGTCTTATTCACCATCAAAGCCCCAGTACCTACTGCAGTGCCTGACATATGGTAGACATCAATGAATGCATTTGTTGAGTGAATGAATAAATGAATGAATGAATGAATGAATGAATAACTCTATTTCCTGAACAAAGAAATAAAATGCACCAAGTTTTCACTTCAGTTCTCTGTCTGCTTCCTGAGGTAGGAGGAGACAAAGCAACCTAAGACTATGCCATATACTCCACGTCAAGCAGTCATGTCAGATGTTTTTGTCTTGTTTACTCCTTAGTGGATCCAGCAAATCGAAGGAGCAGAGGCTGCTCTGCACCAGAAAATGATGGAGTTGGAAAGTGACATGGTGAGTACAAAGATGAGGCATCATAAAAATGAAGAAATGTAGGGCACCTGGATGGCTCAGTGCTTAAGCATCTGACTTGAGCTCAGGTCATGATCTCACAGTTTGTGAATTAGAGCCCCAAATCAGGTAAGCATGAGCCCCACTTAGGGTGAACCCCATTTCTCTCTCTGCCCCTCGTGGGATTCTCTTTCTCTCTCTGCCCCTCACTCACTTGCACCCTCTCTCTCTCAAAAAGAATATTTTTTTAAAAATGAAGAAAAATGGACAAGGCAAGTGGAAAACAACTATTTTCTACCAGTTTCATTGGCACTGATGAAAGTTTGCAGCTTCCCATTGTTTGGTGTACAGACTGGGGAATGAAATTCCTGAAAGTACCCCACAATTTAAAGTCATATTCTTCAAAGCCATGTTGTATTTTTATAATATTTCCAAAACAAATGCTGAAGAAAATTCAATTAGGTGTTTTCTTAGGCTAAATAATTGTTCCACCAAACACTGTCACAGTAGAAATTACAGAAATGATGAGTATAACTCTGATTTTAAATATCTCTAAGCCACCTAAGGCCCATTAGGATTGCCACTATCAGAAACAAAACAAAACAAAATAACAAGTGTTGGTGGGAATGTGAAGAAATTGGAACCCATGCACGGTTGGTAGGAACATAAAATGATGTGTAGCTGCTAATGAAAATTCAAAATAGAATTACCATATAATTCAGCAATACCACTTTGGGGTATATGCCCAAAATAATTGAAGGTAGGTTTTTCAAAGAAATGCTTCTACACCCATGTTCACAGCAACATTATTCACAATAGTGTAAACATGGAAGCAACCCAAGAGTCTATCGCTGGATGAATGGATAGTAAAATGTGGTCTGTACATACAGTTAATATGATTAAAACTTTAAGAAATTCTAACACATGATATAACATGGATGAACCTTGAGGATATTATGCTAAGCGAAATAAGCCAATTGCAAAAAGACAAATAATGTATAATTCCACTTACATAAGTATCTAGAGTAGTTAGACAAATAGAAAGTAGGAATGATAGCTGTCAGGAGCAAAGAAGAAGAGAAAATGAGGAGTTGTCATTTAATGGATACAGTTTCAGTTTTGCAAAATGAAAAGCATTCTGGAGATTGGCTGCTTAACTGTGTAAATATACTTAACACTACCGAACTGTATACTTAAAAATGGTTAAGAGTAATTTTTTGTGTTTTACCGTAATTAAATATTTTTTAAATCCCTAAGCACAGGAATTGTTCATTATAACTTACAGGAATACATAGAATTTTATAACTGTACTGTCATTAGTGTTATGACTACTAAAAAACAGGTAATGATTCCTCAGGTTAGGGAATCCTTTAACAAGAATAACTTGCAGGGCACCTAGATGGCTCAGTCAGTTAAGCATCTGACTCTTAATTTCAGTTCAGGTCATGATCTCACAGTTTATGAGATCGAGCCCTACGTCGGGCTCTGCTCTGACAGTGCGGAGGCTGCTTGAGATTCTCTCTCTCTCCGCATCTCTCTGCCCCTCCCCCTGTCCATGCTCTCTCCAAATAAATAAATAAACATTATATAAAAGAAAGAACAACTTGCATTTATATAGATGTGACGGCATACACATCATTTTGCTTATATTTTACACAGAGTTTATGTTTTACCGAACGGTTAGACCCTAAAGTCAGAGCATGTAACAAGCACTCTTTATCTTTTTTAAAAACCCTTGAAAATTCTTCAAATGTACAAATATTAATTACACAATTAGCCTGTACCAGGCACTGTTCTGGGTACTGGAGCTCAGAGATAATCAGGAAAGCACAGCACAATGACTGCATGCAGACAGTCTCTCAAAAATAGATGTAGTCGTTTTCCTCCAGCATTGGAAGAGGTCCTTGTCCCTTCAGTTAAGCAAACAAAGAAATAATTGAGTGTACTTGGGGCTATGTTGCACAGAAAGATATATATGTATGTATCTTTATTATATTTTATTTATATTTATATTATAATTTATTTATATTTTAACATTTATTTACTTATTCATTTTTGAGAGAGAACCTAAGTGGGAGAGGGGCAGAAAGAGAGGGAGACAGAGGATCTAAAATGGGCTCTATGCTGACAGGCTGACAGCCCTGAGCCTGATGTGGGAGTTGAACTCACGAACAGTGAGATCTTGATCTGAGCTGAAGTCGGATGCTTAACCGATTAAGCCACCCAGGTGCCCCATGAGATATACATATTTTTTAATGTTTATTTTGAGAGAGACAGTGAGAACACAGGTGGGAGAGGGGCAGAGAGAGAAGGAGGGACACAGAATCCAAAGCAGGATCCACGCTGTCAGCACAGAGCCTGATGTGGGACTCAAACTCCTTAATCCAAAGTCAGATGCTTATCCAACAAGGTGCCCCACAAAGGTATATGTCTAAATGGTAATGGAAGGATGCTCACAATGTGAGCGCAGGCATGCTGACACTGAGGACAAGCAAGGGAACTTGAGATTTCAGTCCCAGCTCGTGCTGGTTTTGTGGCAGGAGCAGAAGCCCCTTCATGAAGCGACATTGTGGTTGGAATAGGCCCCATTCCCTACATCATTATCCATCTTCATGTTTGCTAATTGTACACAGATAATTTTGAATATTTTTTTATTATACAACTGTGCATATTACATTTCAAAGCATCCTTACAAAACTAGACTCACAATATATTTGCACAGATACACTTATTAGTAACTCTGTCCTTAACCACATGCTCTTGGACTGGCATAAAAATCCTTGAGAGCATTCCGTGTGGTGGATTGTTTGCTCCATCTTTTATACTTCTTTCCATTGATTTTCACATTCTCTGTGTGAGGCTATGAAAGTTGAACTATTTCCCTAACAGACAAAATCTATGACCCTATAAATGCTAGTGACTGGTCTTGTGGGGAAATTAGAGGAAACATTCATCAATACCATTTATATATCGCTTCCTAGTAAACTAAGATAACTCTTTTCTCTTTCATTGCGGCCCCTTTTTATAGGAACAGTTCTGCAAGATAAAAGGCTATCTGGAGGAAGAGTTAGACTACAGAAAACAAGCTCTCGACCAAGCATATATGGTAGGTACCAAAAGCACTCCGGACACCCAGAGCTCACAGTCCTGTGCTGTGGAGTGAAGCACCTCGTCACTTGTCACGCCACGTACGTGAATAGACCACAGCATTCAAGCTCATTTTTCCAATGGTTTCCATTTCTGGTGTTAGAACAAATACATCCCTACCTCCTTCCTGTTACAGTACTCATAGTATTGAATGTGTACTTAATTATGCTTCATATAAAACAATTGTTTTATAAAATACTTTTTAATGAGAGACAGGTTGGATGGTACCATAAGATGAAAGAGAAATTTTATTAAATCAAATCTAATTGTTTGGGAGCCTTGTGTAGTAAGAGAATAGTAGAGCATTTAATGCCTGTTGTGTATATTTTTCCTTTACATATTTCTCATACCAACCTTATGGAGTATGGGTAATATGCTTATTCCTGTATTACATATGAGGAAATGAAGGCTTGGAGAGTCAAAGAACTTTGCCTGAGAGAGGAAGCAGGTAGTGCTCAGTTCTGACTCCAGACCCTGTGGCCTTCACCACCATAATCCGGCCACAGTAAATGAGGCTGTTGGGGAAATGGGTTGTGCCTTTTTCTCTCCCATAGAAGGCTGTGTGGACTGAGGACCACATCTGATTCATTCCCCGTACCAAATTCATAACACATAATCCCTAATACGGGACAACAGCTTGTATTTCTTCTCTCCGTATACTGTCCCCACCACCACCATTAAGTCACAGTAATGACTCAAGAGATAAAGACCAAACTTAAAAGGGGAACATTTCAAGGAGTTGCTGGTAGAGGTTTTTATAATGCTTTCCTGGAAGCAGCCTGAGTCACTTTGGGGATAAGAGTGAGGCACTTAGCCCCTGCTCGTGACAGAGATGAATTAGTATTCTTCTTCAAAATAAATAAGAGATTCTGAGCACTGCTCAATGGGGAAAGGAGAAAAATGAGAGTTGGTCACCAGAGAACAAAGAAGGAAGCCCTTTCTCCCCTCCCTTCCTACCCTTTTTTCCTTGCCTCCTCTACCGACACATGGTCAGGTTCAGGTGTTTATGTGTCCCATGACCGAGTACTCATCCCAACAACCACATTTCATGTGAAAATGATGAGATCTGTTCAGTACAGTACAAGAGCTAGGAGAACACTCTGTACCAAGGCATGACCATTCACCTCCAAGTCATAGGAGGTAAGATTGTAGATTTTGGTGACTATATCTAAAGCATGTTTAAAAAAAAAAAACCTGGGATATAAGGAGTAGTAGATTCTTAATCCAAAAGAAAGACGACTCAAGGAAGCATTTTATAGCCAAAGCTGCTGTAAATCTCAGAGTATTAAAAAACAGACCAATTCCAAAGACTCCAGACCATTTTTAGATCATGTCTCCCAATTTGCAAGTTAAGATGGGGAGAATGTAAAGCCATCTTCAAGTTCGTATGTGTGTCATGTGGAAGAGAAGTGGCATTTTGTGCATGAAATAGATCTCCAATTTCAAGTATTCCAACTTTCTAAATTTCAACTTAGAAATTTCCAGTGCTTATTTCTAAAAGTACAGCCACCATGATAGATGTCTACATATCTGAAGGGTTGTTAGGTGGAAGAGACAACAAATCTATTCTCAGCGACATTTGAGAAAAGAAAAATGTACAATTTTCATAACAAAGTAAGGACTTCCTAAAAATGAAAGGTGTATGAAATGGACAGGATCCCAAGAAAAGGAACAAATTCCCCATCATCAGAGAAGTTCATGTATTGTTAGCTGGATGACTCGTATGGAGTCCTGCAAAGGAGATTGTCAAAATGGTAGTTTGACTGGATAAGCTTTGAAATTGACTTTAGTGCTACGATCCTGTATGACTACAATAATACATAACTCCCCTCTCCTCCCACACGCAAGTGTCTCCCTTTGCATACCACACGGAAATGCTAAGTTCCAAAGTTAGACTTTTCTAATTCTGTTTGCCAGAGAATCCAGGAACTAGAAGCTACTTTGTACAATGCTCTGCAGCAAGAAACCGTTATCAAGTTTGGTGAATTATTAAGTGAAAAACAGCAAGAAGAGCTGAGGACAGCGGTAGAAAAGTTACGACGGCAGATGCTGAGGAAGAGCAGAGAGTATGACTGTCAGATTCTTCAGGAGCGAATGGAGCTCTTACAGCAAGCCCACCAGGTGAGGACAGAGCTGCTGCATCTGTGTAGGATTGGTACTAAGCAAATGGCACTTAGTTAAGTACATGGTACTGAGTCTGGGTGAGGAGAAGCCGAGGAGCTGTATGTCATCTGCAGAGAGTAAGATACAGAACTCTTGGTTTCCACCTAGACTCAGGGACAGGATGACATTTTGTAATGATTCAGTCCCGAGAAAAGTGGCATTCCGGAAGCATCACATAGTGCTGCTATTTCAGGAACTGCTTTTTCATGAAATACCCTTTGGGTCTCCCAGAACCTGATTAGCTCCCTTATGCAGGGAAGCAAGACTCTCCCCAGGACAGAAATACTGCTTCCTCCTGTTCCTCTTCCCAGTCCATAATCTAGCCTGATCAGATAATTTGAATAGGATAAAAGAGAACAAGGGCCTTTTTCTTTATTCCCAGAACAAACAGCAACAACAGTAAAGCCTGGAAGCTGCCGCTTACTTACTGGCATTTGCTATGTCAGGAACTAAACTAAGGGCTCTACTTACATCATTGCATTTAATCTTCACAGTAGCCCGCTAAGGTAAGTATTCTTATTATCCCATTGATGAGACAACGATACTGAAGATACCAGTGCTTAAGTGATTTGCCCAAGGTGACACAGAGAGCCAGCACCAGACCCAGCGTCACCTCGGGTGGGCATGACTCAGGGCCAGTGCGAGTAACCACTGTACTACAACTCTCCTGTGCAGCTGGAGCCCTCTCTGATTGATACAACCCATCTGGACCAGCAAGACTCCAGAGACACTCACTATTAATTTGTAGCCAAAATTCTTAATTCCATCTCTTAGTTCATGGCTTAGCTTGACAGGTGAGGACTTAAGGCCCAGGTCAAAAAGCAGATTCCAAAAGAATTCCAAAATTGATAGTGCCAATAGGATTTGGTACTCAGAAGCTGAGATAAGCAAGAGATACAAAATCCAGGTGAGCTATATAAGAAGTAGGAGTCCTGTGGTCTTTAGAGATCACGGTGAGTGGAAATGCAACAGGTTATTTTATGACACCCATAAGAACAGTTTGTGGGGAACAGGACACTTAGCACACTTCCTACACAGCCAGGAGTTGTGCGAACCTTGATAGTCGATTATCTGAGTTAACAGGGAACTGTGAAGCCGTTTGTCCCAGAGATGGTGAACACAGGCATGTTTGTTTCAGTGCCCCTTCAGATTCTGTCATAAAGTGCTGGGGTTTGATCCTAGAGAGCTTTTCAGTCCTTTAATAATAGACTCCATGGCATCATTAGTTGGGGGGAATGAAAGTGTCCTCTGCATAAATTTTTTATACTGCAAGAGCACTTAATTAATTTCAACAAATCATGGGCTGTGCCATGGAACCACAGAAGTGCTTTTTTTTCTTTTTCTTTACTTTTTTAAATGTTTATTTATTTTTGAGAGAGAGAGCATGAGCTGGGGAAGGGCAGAGAGAGAGGGAGACACAGAATCTGAAGCAGGCTCCAGACTCTGATCTAGCTGTCAGCACAGAGCCCAATATGGGGCTCAAACTGATGAACCTGAGCCGAAGTCAGATGCTTAACCAACTGAGCCACACAGGTACCCCAGAAGGATTTATTTTTAAGATGGGCAAAAAGTAATCTAAATTTATTGGTGACTAAAACCTTTGTCATTTTTCTGAGTCTCTAAGCAAGCCAAACCTGAAAGACATGGTTTTGTTTGCTTTGTGTTAAGCTGTCCAGTGAGAGATACATTTCTAAGCCTCAGATTTCCATTGAAATTTTCTATCTCCCAAACAAATTTTCATTAGAAAATTTGCCTTTTCTAATTATTTCTTACTCTTTTCCCCACCCCCTTATAATCAGTAGATTTGATTTAAAACAATTAGTCCAGGAGGTGTTGGCCAAGATTTGTCACGTGTAAGTATGTGATCCAGTTAACTCCTAGAGCATATCCCTATTTATTGGACATTTCTGCTTGAATGGTTCACAGTGAACTCATAAGAAACATACCTAAGTGTGCATTCTTCTTCTTTCCCCTTCTCTCCCCATTGGCCTGCCTTGGTCAGTAGAATTAACATATCCCAAAGCACTCAGGCTGGAAACGCTGAAGTCTTCTTTGTCCTTTATCTGCAATCATTAATAGAGCAGTACATCCAATTAGTATTTCTCCAGAAGTGTTTTTGAAGCTGGTCCATTTTGTCCATACTTGTAACCTGAGGCATAGAGCAGGACCTTTCAATCCTGCAGCAGATCCCAGATGCTGCCAGATGTCCTCTTATGTAACCCAAATCCATCATCTAGGAATTTATTCAGTCACTGTTTAAATGCACTTTCTAGACTTTGGCATGCCAGACGTGGAGAATTCACATGGACTCGGCTTTTACAAAGCCTAGGACCTATTGAAGGAGACAAAGGAGGCTAACACACAAAAAACTAATTATGATTGATATCTGTTGACAAGTGGCATAAAAAAATCATATGCAGTATGCTACAGGGATTGAGTGGTGGAGAGGACTTCCTGCCCCTCTCTCTACTTCATCATGCATATCACTACATGTCCTTTCACCTTTCCTCATGGTCCATTTTTCCTCAAAACCCACATGATCTCAATTTCCAGTTGGGTCTAAGTCTATGCAGGTCTCTCCAGATCCTTCATTAGCTGGCTACCCCTTCCCTGAAAACCTGATCTGAGACAATCTCCAGAGCATACGGTCCTCTCCACTCATACAGAACTCTTCTTGGTACCCCTTGGGTCATGACTCTCACCTCCAAGCCTTTGTTAGCATGATCATTCACCCTAAAATGCCCTTCGGTGTCTGCTGCATTTATCCAAATGTTCTCATTTTTCCAGTCCCAGTTTAAGATCCACCTCCTTTAGGATGTTCCCCTGATAATAATGGACTGCATACTACTGCCAAAAATCTGTACTCCATACTCTGTTACACATTCTTTTAAAACCACATATTGAGAGCCTGCTTGTGCCAGGTCCTAGGAATATGATGGTAGACAAAGACTTAACGGTCACTGCTCTTATCTGTCCTAGAGGCAAAAAGGGTCAAAGCAACAACGCAAGTGAACAATGACCAAGGTAATTTCAGAGAGAGACAGAAAATGCTCTGAAGAAAAGTATACAATGTGTGTGTGCATTTGGGAATAGGATTCGCCCTTTAGACTCACTAGGCAGACCGGGTGTCTCTGAAGATGTCTGAAACCCAAGGGACCAGCCACACAAAGATCTTGGCAAAGTGCCCCAGAAGACAGGGACGACAGAGTGTAAGTCGCTATTGTGGAAACATTTGGAATAGTCAAAGAACAGAGAGAAGGCCATAACAATGGAGCACATATAGCCAAGGTGAAGCAGCTGTGAGGTGAAGCTGGAGCGGGAAGACAAGACTAAATCACACTGGACCTTGAAGGAAGTTGGGTTATTTTCTGAGCGCAGCTTGGCTACCTCTCCCTTATTCTTACTCCTCTTCCTCTCCCCCTTAAACTCAGGGCCTGCCCCGATTATTCCACCTGTCAGGAGTGCACACAGCTGCTGTAGATGGATGTACTAAATTAGAAACAGGAAGAGCTAGCAGTAAGCTGTCACCCCAGTCCTGATGCAGACAACAGTGACTTGGTGTACTTATTAGCAGGACAGGTAAGAGTGATAGAAAAGGCTTCTATTTTGGACCTGAGAAGGTTCTCCGTTGGATGGGGTGGCAAGTGAATGGGAAAGGAAAGAAGTAGAGCATGTAGCACACAACTGTAGCATAAATAACTCATGTACTCAACACGCATAGGCAGCTTCTTTGTACTGAACTCAGTCCTACTTACTAGAGATTGGTGATGAAGTTACAATGGCTTTGCCATTGTTTACTTATTCTACTTAATTTGTTTTTCCCTGTGTTTTCAACTTTGTCTCCCCATCTGATTCTGATGATTCTTTGAGACCAAAAATTGACTGGTGTCTGTATTCTCCATTATATCTAGCATAGACCTGACCTTTGTAAGAGGTGGCCCAACAAACACACACTTGGTGGCTGAATAGACACAGTAGTAATCTCACATGTCCATGATTTTGTTGAGATAATACTTGCCTCCACATTCAGTAGACATATCAAGGAATTACACGTACCCTCAAGGTAGAAATGTCTAGCAAATTTATTCTTTTATTGTGTAGCTTTGGCACCTGAACAGCATTGTGGAAATATACACAAACACACACATCACTCCCATGTACACGCAGCATTAGCTTCCAGGCCCCTTGTCTTACCCTGAATTCATTGTCTTATAATTTCAAGGTCAGCCTTAATAGTCTCTCTGACGCAAACAACCTCATCCTCCTCTGCACAAACCTCAGCCCCTTCCTTTTAAAGCAGACTCCTCAGTCTCCTTACTCCCTACATTTGGTCAGATGATTCTATTTTTTATGTTTATTTATATATTTTTAGACAGGGAGAGAAAGAGAGCATGCACATGTGTGTGTGAGTGGGAGAGGGGCAGAGAGACAATCTCAAGCAGACTTCACACTGTCAGCACAGAGCCTGACATGGGGCTCGGACTCACAAACCAGGAGATCATGACCTAAGCTGAAATCAAGAGTGGAACGCTCAACCAACTGAGCCACACACGTGCTCTTGGTCAGAGGATTCTTTATGGTAGGGACTGTCCTGTGTATCTTCCTGGGCTCTGCCCATTGGATGCTGGTTACAACCCCCACCCCAGGTGTAATTATTGACCACATGTGATTCAGAAATGTCCAGACAGTCAGATAGTGATGATGGTTGCACAACTTTGTGAATATTCTAAAACCACCAAATTGTACACTTCAGATTAACTAACTTTAAAAGATATCCAGACATTGCCAGATGTCCTCCGGGGGCCGGAGTCATCCTCCATTGAGAACTACTGTTTCACAGAAAGGGGGATACAATTTCCAAATTCAAGTATTTGTTCTAGCTTCCCCTTTTTCTCCCCAAATTGCATTATAAAAACCTCTCTTTCTATATTATTACCCCTTTAGCTTCCGCCGTTTTCTTCTCAGACTCTAGTCCATTTTCTGATTATTCCCAAGAGAAGCATTAAATAACAAACTTATACTGTATAACTATGTGCCATGAACATAAAAAGCCTTTAGTTGTCTTGAAATTTGAAGATTTTTCACTTGCAAATAAATGTGTGATGTTGATTTCAAATCTGTGCTTCTTAAATCACTGGAATTTTGTTATACAATTGACAGGTAAGTTCAAAGAGTTCTGGAACTAACTATTTTGTCTTTAGGATTACTTATGCTTTTTGCTATGTTTAGTTTTCCCCTAATTTAATCAGTTTCCTCCTTGGAATATTTGTCCAACTCTAGTCTCTACTTTGTTTTATGAGAATTGGCAAGTCCTGCTTTTGGAGTAAATTCTACCCTAAAGCAGAGATCAAATACAGTTGGAAAGAAAGGGTAGCAAAAAAACAATGGGACTGTTTGCATTTGTGATAATCAACAGCTAAAGATCCCAATCCAAATGGCTACAACCCAGTTAGTTTCTTGCTCACTAGTTCCGGGACATCCTGCAGTCTGTATGAGGAAGTGGTATGCCCACTTCTCCTACTCTCATTCCACTGGCCAGACAGGTCTTGTGGCCAAGCCCAAGGACAGTGGGGTGAGAATGTTAGCTCCCTCATAGGCATAGGGTCTGTAGGGATAGGTGCATAGATGGGGTAGCAAATTTAAAAATACGTACGTAATTAATGCCGTGCTTTTCCATCACAAGTGTGGGTAATCCAACCGTCTTCTCAGTATGGAAAAACATCTATGTGATGCTTCTCACTCCGACTACTTTTTTTTTTTTTTAATTTTTTTTTTAATGTTTTATTTATTTCTAGGAGAGAGAGAGAGACAGCGTGAGCAGGGGAGGGTCAGAGAGAGAGGGAATCACAGACTCCGAAATAGGCTCCAGGCTCTGAGCTGGCAGTCAGCACAGAGCCCGATGCGGGGCTCGAACCCACGAACCGTGAGATCATAACCTAAGCGAAAGTCGGACGTTTAACCGACTAAGCCACCCAGGCGCCCCTCGCTCTGACTACTAATGTTAATGTTTTCGCAGCAAGTTTTGTGTTTTAGGTTGGCAAACAATCTTCTTATTAAACACCCACTAAGTCTTTCTCTTTTTTCCTTTCTTCAGAGAATTCGTGACTTAGAAGATAAAACAGACATCCAGAAAAGACAGATAAAAGACTTAGAAGAAAAGGTACGTGTTAAATTCAGTGCGAATTTGTCTTTAACTTTCAGACCAGAAAATAATAGGAGTTTCACTCACCGTGTTGTGTTTCTTCTCTGTTACTGTGTATCTTGCTGAGGCAGGTATTGTCATGGTCAATATAAACTTCACCGTCAGTCAGTCACCAGCATCCCAGAAAAGGTTCTGTCTTCAGCAACCTAGCCTGGACATGTTTGCCTTTTGTGTTGATTCCTATTTTTTGCTATGGGTGCTTTCTTTCCTCACTTCCCCTCTCTTATCTTGGTTTCCTTTCCAAAAGTTTCTTTTGAGTTTTGTGACTGTACTTTGCTCTTTCTTTTCAAAATCTTTTTGGTCCCTTTATGGAAAAAAAAAAACAAAAACAATCATTCCTGTTATTGTTGATAGAAAGCCCTTTCTTCCTTGTGCTTCATTGTCCCCTCCATGGTAAGTCCAGAAACTTAGGTTGACACATGATGAAGATGCCCTCACGTCGCTTTCCCCAGTGGCCGGAAAGACTCCTCCAAGTCAGCCAACACTTACAGGGGAGAGTGTAGTAGTTCTGAAAGGTGGCATTTGGAAGTGTGCATGGTGGGGGATGGGAGAGGGCTCACACAGGGGTGCTGGACAGGCTGCAGTGAGTCCAACAATCTTAAGACAACAACACTGACCCTGCCCGTGATGCCGGGAGCACCGTGCTGAGGAACACAGCAAGGATGGCAAGAGGCCTTCCCTAGAGTTTCAGTCTGATTTCCTGTGTGGCGAAAGAATATGGCTATTTTGCAGCATCTTCCATGGGCACCCAAGAAGAAAATAGCAAACCATCTGCTGCTTCTGAGACAACGATCAGGTTTTTCTTCATCCCAAATTACTTCTGTAGTTACCCATACATGTGAGATCAGAGAGAGTTAGTTGGTCGGGGCCAGAGGCCAGACCATCAGCAGCCTGGATTCTTATGAAGGCTGGGTCTTCACATACTTAATTGACCTTGGGTATGTGACCGAGACTTGTCTAAGCCTTATCTATAAAATAAGGATGATAAAGCTTGCCCTCACCTCTTCTCATGGGTTCCGTGAGGAACAGATTAGGTCACTTAAGTGAAAATTACAAAACACTGAGGGTGTTCGATTAAAAAGTAGAACTCCCAAAATTTCCAGACATAAAATACACAGCCTCTGCAAAATTGTAAATTTGAGTGGTCTTCATTTCAGAATTGTGTCGTTTAGCTCTATGGGACTGAATGAGGCAAAGGTGAAGTACAGTAAGCTAAAGACCGAGTCTGACTTCCCAGCATTTGGCAGAAAACCCACAGAAGGTGGGGACTGTTTCCAGTCTCTCTGGTTGTCAGCGCACATGCCTGATGCCTTCCATTTCCCACAGCTTCAAATGGCTAGCTCTTGGTTCTAGGAATTTTCTGTGCAAAGTCTCAACCTGCTCCACAGCTGACAAAGAGGAAGCCAGAATTAAAACGAGAAACTTCAGTTTGGTTCAGGCCCCATTCATGTAAGGAAAACCAAACTAAAAGCAGGGGGGTGTTAAAATCTCTATTAATATCACTACCCTAGGCATTTTCTTTCTTTTTTTTTTTAAATGTTTATTTACATTAGAGAGAGAGAGAAAGACAGAGAGTGAGCAGGGGAGGGGCAGAGAAAGAGGAGACACAGAATCCAAAGCAGGATCCAGGCTCTGAGCTGTCAGCACAGAGCCTGACGTAGGGCTGGAACTCACAAACCATGCAATCATGAACTGAGCCGAAGTTGGATGTTCAGCCAACTGAGCCATCCAGGCGCTCCTACCCTAGGCATTTTCTTATTAAACCTCATGGAAATGTTAGAGGAAGGCGATTAAGATTATGTTCACTGCCAAAATTCACTGAACTTTTCATTTCATGGATCTGAACTCTTTAAACATTTATAATGGGGTAACGTACATAATGGTGAATAAGGATTCTTTAGCATCCAAAGCAGCATATTCCACATACAGTAATAAATTAAGCCACTTCAAAACAATCCATTTGGTTTCTGACTAGAGATTTGAATGAGAGACAAGGTTTGTGACATACCTTCTATTCCCTTGACCCCAGTTCACACACACAAACCCAGAAAAAATGCTAAAGCTCACCTATGTGAGAGCTATTCTTCTTTCTTTTCCTTGGGGTACTTGAACAACTCCTGAGGGTCCATGAAGTATTCTTTCTTTATTCCTAATTTCCATGCACATGGTTAGTATGTGTAATGTGATGATCACACGTAACAGAATTGCCTCACATATGCAGTTTTACCTCAGCCCAAGCACTTCCATGTTCATTGGCTTCATCGACTCTCTTGAGAGTTACTCTGTGAGTCAGACACAGCGGATATCAGGATCCGCTTTTTTACAGGTAATAACACAACAGGTCAGAGAGATTAAACACCATTCCCAGGACTATGTAACCAGTCCATATCAAGTCTAGAGGCCAGGATGTCTGACTCCACATGCTACGTTCGGCACCCTGAACTGCCTGGACAAAGAATCTCATTGCCATTGAGGTGATGGGCACCTCCTCATACCCAGAGAGGTGGCACTGATGTCTGAGCTCCTCAGAGGAGTAGTGGAAGCCTCCCTTTCCTCTCCATTTTCTGCTACGGGCATCATTTTACCACTCTCCATCTTCAAGGAGTTGAAAAAAAAAAAAGGACAGAGTTTCTGCTTTCTGGACTCATAGAACAGTCACCAACGCTTGACTCTTAGCACCATTTTTATAACTTGTCCCTACAGTTTTGCTACAGTGAAGCCAGAGCCCTGTAAGCAGTGGCATTAAAGGACACATGCCAATAACCTGCTCAACATTAGAATGCCATACACCACCATTATTCAAGGAAGTCGTGTCTGACAAAATGCTCCTGAAGTGTGACAACAAGGTCAAAGTCTGACTCTGTAGGAGTGCCTCATCAAGGAAATTGGTATTTGAAAAACACGGGTCTGACCTGCGGCCTTCTACAATTAGAATGCGGTTGGTTATGTACCACTGCTACACAAGCACGTCTGTTCACTCAAGTATCTGCTTTTCTGGCAAAGGTTCTCAGTGAAGAGAGACAAATCAGACTCCATTTAACTTCGATGAGTCAAAGAAGGAGAGAATATCTGCAAAGCATGGAGGTTCGAACAGCAGTGTGTGTTCATTATCTGAGGCGTCCACTGATGTATAAGCATATTTCATACCACACATCCTTGCTTGTCCAGGGTAGACCCAGGCCATAGCTGATGTCCTGATGTAATTACTGATAGTGTCTGCATTTCCACCTCAGAAGTAGCCCACTGTGGATGATTTATTATATGTTTACCTCACATATTAATATCCTCTCTGCTATGCCTTACTCAAATTAACCAAACAATGATAGCATTAAGTGATGAAGTGGATACTCTGATCATATTTTTGTAGTTTTGATTTACCCTGCCACACATTAAAAAACAGACAATAATATAGAATAAAGTAAGATTCAGGAGGCCTAAATTCAAGGCTTTACTATGACATGAAATGACATGCAATTAGACTATTAATGAACTGTTCTGTGCTTACTTTTCTCACTTAAAGAATTAGGAGCTTAAGGCCCATGATCTATTAGACCCCCCCTCAGAATTCTAAAATGTATGAGTCCATAGGGCGCCTGGGTGGCTTAGTCGGTTAAGCGTCCGGCTTTCGCTTGGGTCATGACCTCGCGGTTCGTGAGTTCGAGCCCCGCGTCGGGCTCTGTGCTGACTGCCAGCTCAGGGCCTGGAGCCTGTTTCAATCTGTGACTCCCTCTCTCTCTGACCTTCCCCTGCTCACGCTGTCTCTATCTTTCTCCTAGAAATAAATAAAAAACATTAAAAATTTTAAAAAAATAAAATAAAATAAAATAAAATAAAATGTATGAGTCCATGTTAGTTGACACCAGTTATTCCTCACATTATTTTGCCAACAAATAAGTAAAACATATGTTTTTTTTAAACAAAAGGTGCTTGGTATGTATGTGACAAGTGGTCAGAATTAAGCAAAGTGGAAGAGCTTGAGGTTTTGTACTAGATGAATGACACTACAGAAATTCCAATTTACATAATCTTCTTCTTTTTCTTCTGCAGTTTCTGTTTCTATTCTTGTTCTTCTCTCTTGCCTTTATTCTATGGCCTTGATGTCAAGGTGCCTCTTAAAGGTAAGATTTCATTTAATTCTCAAAATATGGCTCTAAGAGGTATTTGATCAGAAGGATGCTGTATACAGTTACTAGTTACTAGTAATGCCCATGTTTGTTTGGTTTAAAAAAAAAAACAAATACATTTGGTTAGCTTAAATGCCATAAAATGAGAAACAGATCACCTGAAACTAATGTAACATTGTGTATCAACTGTGCTTCAATTTAAAAAAAGAGTAAAAAATGTGAGAAGCAGATCCAATCCATTTGGGCGATTATTAAAAAAACAAAGCAACCATCAAATAGGGAAATCAAGAATATTGTTCTAGTTAACTGTATTGCTTTGGGAAGTCTTAATGTCTATGGGGCTCAGTATTCTCATCTTTCATTATATGGAAAGAGCTGCTTCCCTCTCTGCGAAATGAAGAGATGCGAGTATATTTTTAGTATCTCTTCCAGCTTGAAAATTCTGATTCTGTAAGCTTAACAAGCTAAAAATGGCTGATTTATTTTTAACCCTTTCTCCCAGTCTGATTTCATCACAACTCAGGAAAGCAGGCTTTTAAGTGAAATTGGATCGTCTTTGCAAGTAAGATAACTTTCCGTGCCAATGTAGAACAATGAGAGTTTTATTACTACTAAATGATCAAGTCTGTGTCTCACGAATACATGTATAAATAATCTTAGACACTGATTCCCAAAGCTATGAAAAATACAGATTCCAAGTCCTTACCTCTGACTCAGTGGATCAGGTTGCTGGAGGTGGAGGTGAGATGGAGGGTGGGAGGAGTGGAGAGCAAGGACCAGTCTGTGTTTCTAACATGGATGTTAAAATGTGATTCTGATGTCTCCCGGGTACAGACACTGTGCCTCATGATAGCATTATTTAAAAATGAGGAAGGGCCAGGTGCTCTTCTAAATCCATATGTCATGGTCTGTGTCACTTTGGTTTTCCTATTAAGTTCTATTACACAGGGATCTTTCCTGGGCCTCACTTTATTCAATGTTTTCCATAGCAAGTTGAAGAATAGAGAAGAGACAGTTGCTCTCCCCATGAGTATCATCCCTGTTACCTAGGTGTGGAACCGACAAGCAAAAGTGCTTAGCATGGCCCGATACAAGGAAGGAGTTAAGCGTATATGCCCAGAAAGTTTATGTTCTCATATAATCAACTTTCTGGCTTTATGCGTTCTTCCAGAAGAGTTTCTTTTCAGACTGCCAGCCATCCTTTGTCTGGCAAGATGGATGGTGACCTTGCAGAACATAGGAAGAGGACTGAGTCTCTTAAACTGAATGAATCTGTGTAAGGTGAAATGGGTGAGATTTTCTAGGAGGAGGTAGGAATGGCCAGAGCATCAGAAAACAAATAGCTCTCCCCTACTAGGAATAAGAAAGAAAGAAACAGGACATGAGTACTATGTGGTAGTTGAGGAAAGAAAAATCAAAATTCATAAACACTATCAGAAAATGCATAGGTTTGAACAATCACATCATCAATGGCTAACACTTACACGCCAGGGGCTATTTTAAGCAATGGATACAGTGAACCACACAACACCCCCTGTAAAGTGGTGCTGATTTATTCCTTTCATTATAGTTGGAGAAACAGTAGCATGGGACTTCCGAGGCGGTAGAGCTACAATTGGCAGGTTTAGTATTCGTACCTAGACTCACTGTAGACATTTTTAGCCACTTTTAACCACCACACTGCCTCCCAAAGGAGAGGGCATCGCTGCCACATTGTGAGCACCATTTCTGTTCGTATATATCAGCAGTCAGAGGTGTCTTCTGCAACGTGAGCAGTACTGCTGGGCTGGTGGGTTTTGAGATTACATTGTGCTCATCTCTATACCTTTTCCCATTTTGTGGGACTCTTTGAGGGTTGTATAAGATTTAATTTGCTTTTCCTCCGTAGTAGCACATAACTGACACTTAGTAATTGTCTGTTGAATGAAAGGTCATGATTATAACTAATGAGAGTATAGCAAATCAGTGTGACAGTGCATCTGGGGTGTCTAAAATATGTGTAGGAAAATGGCTGAGTAGAGTTACAGCTTTGAAGTTACATATACTGTTAAGTTTGGATCCTGTCATTTACAGCCTATGTTGTGGTAACTTTAATCCACTTGAGATTAGGTTTCCTATTCTGTAAAGTGGTTGTGTTACCTACACCATGGTATTACATTCAGAGAACTAAATGAGATTGTGCATATAAAGGACTAATTGCATTGCTTGGAACATAGTTCAATCATCAGCAACTCTTAGCTGTTATTATTTTGAAGAGTTGGCTATCACAGTTACTGGATTCATCAATATAAAAGTTTGAAATTATAATCTCTGGTATTATCACATAGTTTACCACCTAAACCCAGAACAAGTACTTGCCTTTTCATCTCCTCTTTTCAGGGAGTAATCTAGATTTAAATAAGACATGACTAGAAATTGATGAATGCCATTTTTATCTCCATAGTAGCTGAGCTAGAGATAGGAAAAAAATAGGCGAGAAAAATGTTTGGCTTGTCTGCAGAGAGTAAAGGCATATGGCACATAACCTTAAAAATATTTTTCCTACTAAATTAAAGGCTTATATTCTGCTCTTTAACCCAAGAGTAACTTAAAGTATATGTAAAGATACCCTCCTTAAAATGAAGTGACTCATGCTTTTTTTCTTTTTGCAATTACAATTACCTAAGTCATTTTTGTCAGTGATGATCTAGAAGCTGCTGAAGGCTCCCAAGAAGGCACCCTTATTGCTCTCAGTGGCTGCCAAGTAACACAGGTCTATAGATTATATTGGGACTTTTGTCTTAAGGAGGGGGATTCCACGGGGTACCTGGGTGGCTCAGTCAGTTCACCGTCTGACTTCAACTCAGGTCATGATCTCACAGTTTGTGGGTTCGAGCCCCACATCAGGCTCTGTGCTGACAGCTCAGAGCCTAGAGCCTGCTTCTGATTCTGTGTACCCCTCTCTCTCTCTGCCCCTCCCCTCCTCATGATCTGTCCCTCAAAAATAAATAAATGTTAAAAAAATTTTTTTAAAGGAGAGGAATCCCAGGTAGTTTTATGAGATATCATCTCCTCATGCATTCTGGATATTTATTCTAAAGAAGTAGTATACCACAAATTATTCCATGTTAGTTATATCAGGAGAAGAAAACGAGAGGAGTACACAAATAGCTATCACTGGGATGTTAATATCCAGGTTAAAACAACCCATTGAAAACCCTTTTCTTCTGAAGAGGGACAGGTTAATAAAGAACATAATGGAACCAGCTCTGTTCATTATGAAGCTTGGAAGACCAGACAAAGAACAGGTAATCATGATCCTTCATCTATGTATCCTGTTTCCTTTTTTAAGAAAATTTTTTAATGTTTATTTATATTTGAGAGACAGAGAGAGAGACACAGAGCAAAAGCAGGAGAGGGGTGGCAGAGAGAGAGGGAGACACAGAATTCAAAGCAGGCTCTGGGGTTTGACCTGTCAGCACAGAGCCTGACATGGGGCTCAAACTCATAGATGATGAGATCATGACCTGAGCCCAAGTTGGAAGCATAACCGACTAAGCCATCCTGGTTCCTTTTTAATAATTCTTTTGTCAGTCATGACTCTTGAACTTGATAGCTCTATATTTTCACTTCCATCTAGTAACATAGAACATATTAAAAGGCACATAATACTGTGTTATTTTTCTAATCCAAAAAAAATTTTTAAATAGATACTGTAGTATAAGAACAGCCACAGTTGATTGGTTACAAATTCTCCATTAAAATATGCAAATGTTCATTTCTTATTACATTTATAATTTTCAGTCCCTCCTCCCATCAAGGCCTTCAGTGGCCTGTGGAAAACTAATGGCAGTAGGATTCTACAATATTTATTGTTTAAAATGAAGAATTTTACTCCGTATTCTTTTATATTGATAGGAAAATTCTGTAAGATGAATCATTGTATTCCAGTTAATCAGTCTTTCTTTATGTAGATGTATCTATTAGCCTTCACCTAGTCATATTAAGATTGTTTCCCTATCTGTCTCACAATGTTGACTATTAAGAAAGCACAGAGTAGGCTTATGCTTGATCTTTGTATCTTCAATGTCTACAACAGTGTCTTTTACATACTAGCTGCTGAATACATTTTAAATTGACACATGGTCAAAAGGATAGACAGATGAATGAATAAATAGTTGGGTAAATGAAATTGAAAGCAGATTTATGACATGTTAGATTGTAGCCCCGGATAACATAGTAGTGTAATACCAAGATAACTATCTGATTTGCTCTGGATAATAACCTAAAGAATAAGTGAACAAAGGAACAGATACATGAACAAATATGTTCTCCCCCAACTCCCTAGGAGGATACCCTACTAACTCAGTTCATTGCTTCTCCAGACACTCTTACAACTCACTATCCACACAGCCACTGAGTAAGTGTTAGGAAACACAGATCTAATTGTGCCCCCTTCCTGGGGTGCACATTATTAGGGTGAAATCCCAGTTCCCCCACGTGCCCAATGGAGCCCTGTGTGATCTCACTGCAGTCTCTCAGGCTTTCCCTTGCCCTAGGAGCTCCCTTGATGAGTCTTACTCCCTTCTGCCTCCCACAGGAGTTTGCCTACACAGTCTTTGTGTGCACAGTACTTTCAATCCTGCTTTATCTAGTAAACACCTACTCCTTATCCTTCCAATCTCAGCTCACTTGTGATTCCCGCAGGGAAATCTTCCTTGATTTCACTCCCGGCAATATTTAACATGCATTTGACTTGTTTTGGTTGTTGTTGCTGTTTTTAATTAATAATACCTCTCTCCCTCATCGTATATAGGTTCATGAGGGCAGAGACCATACATGTTTCCTTCGTCCTTGTAACCCGAATATCCAGATAGTGCCTAGCTTATAGCTGGAAATCAATAAATACTTCTTTTTTCTTATTTTTATTTTTATTTATTTTTTATTTATTTAAGTTTATTTATTTACTTTGAGAGAGACAAAGAGGCCATGCACATGCAGGAGAGGGACAGAGAGAGGGAGAGAGAATCCTGAGCAGGCTCTGCACCATCAGCACAGAGACCAATGCGGGACTTGAACTCACGAACCATGAGATCATGACCTGAGCTGAGGTCAAGAGTTGGAAGCTTAACCAACTGTGCTACCCAGGTGCCCAATCAATAAATACTCCTTAATGATAGTGATGATATTACGGTAAGGAAGAGAAAGAGGATATCTCTTTTGTGATTGAAAGAGTGTATTTCATATCTATTTTATTTAATTGAGCATTCCTATGAAATAAATACTATTATATGTCTCTAAACACTAATATCTTAATATAAAAACTTAGCAGGTATTAGCATCTACTATTTTTCCTAAGGATTAGGTGATACTATATAAGTAAAGCAACCAATATAGTACCTGGCACATAGAAAGACACATTTAAAGCCAAGTTCCTAGGACATACCGAGCATTCTGTCTTGGATCATGCATTGTGAGACGTGCTTCTGTCTACTTTGGCCATATATTTCCCACACCACAGTCAACTATTTCATATCCATTTGCCCTGCCCATCTCAGTGTAAAATCAGGGACTCAGGGAAGCCTCCCGTGATCCTCTGACTTCAGTTACATTTCATTCAATATTACTTGCCTTTCTCGGTGGCATTCTCATAGACCCCCAGGACCAACAGGGTCTGTTTCCTCATCTGTAAAAAGGAGGCAATAAGCTATCCTTTATTGAATATTTTACCATACAATAAAGTATATATGAGGACTGATGGAATGGAAGGTGTCATGAAGGCCCTTAGGGGTCTAGATGGTACACTTGGTTGGGTGGTGGTGCCCTTGATTAGAGATACAGGAAGCAGGAAGAGGGCGTGACTGCTGTCAAGGATTTGCAGGGATCTGTGGTAACTAGAGATCAGGAGGCGGCTACAGTTTGTTCATCAATATGCCTCTAAATATTAAGATCTAAATGACCTTCTTCTAGCAGTAAGAAAACCCTCAAGAATAGTGAACATAAGTAGCCTGCCAATTGAACCCGACTAATATTCGCTAAGTGTCACTTGTGAACCAGCTGGCCTGGTGAGTACTTGGATACTAGAATCATAGGGCAGAAGTGACATTGCTGTGCTCATTCACTTAGAGTCTGGTGGCAGGTGGTAAACTCTCAGAAATGATAGCTGCAGTCAGTGTTTTACCAGGGAGGAAACTAAAGCCCACTGACATTAAGCAACTCACTGAAAAGAATCCCTGAGGCTCTGTAATATCCAGATGGCCTTCTGAACCAAAGATGAATTTATATTCTATACAGTTTGAGTTAGAGTATAATGACCTTTAGTTCACTGAAAATTAGTCATCAACGGCGGACCATTGGATAGCGCTTTATGTATTTGGGATGCCCATTTGAATAAATGTGGCTTTGCTCCAAGTTCCTTTACAGATACTCACTGTACAGAAATTTAATATTCTGGAAGACTACAAGCCCATTTGTTTTTTTAAACCAACATGGTTTTACTCAAATGATGGGCTTTACTGGGGCGCCTGGCTGGCTCAGTCAGTTAAGTGTCCGGTTTCAGCTCAGGTCATGATCTCATGGTTCGCAGGTTCGAGCCCTGCATAGGGCTCTGTGCTGAACTCTTCCTCAGAGCCTGGAGTCTGCCTCAGATTCTGTGTCTCCTCTCTCTGTCCCTCCTCTGCTCACACTCTATCTCTCAAAAATAAATAGATGTAATTTAAAATCAATTTTTTTTAATGATGGGCTTTATTTCATTTGTGACAGGCAGAAATGATGCCTATGTGTTTTGAAACAGAATTTATGATTTATTTCTGAGAATGTATAAATTGAAGGCTTGCAAGTAACAGACTTTCTGGATTTACATATTTTATATAGACATATATATATACTATATACATATATATATATTATATATACACACACACACCTTAAAGTATCTTTTATATAGACTAAGATCAGTTCTCTTCACTACCAAGGGAATATGGGAATTATACTTTTAAGTAGGTTTTGGGGCTCTTCTCTCACTGGGATGTAAATATGAACATAATCTATTTTTCTCAAAACATAGCTTTCACTCAGGTTCCAATTATTATCTCTCATTCTTTAAAAATGCCTTAGGCCAATTCCCCCATTTTTTAAGCCACTTTCAGTTCTTGGAAGTCTAAGTCAGTTTAAAATTCAACCTCAGACTCTGTTTAATCGCATTTCTTCCCTATCCCAAGTGTAGCGGAAGGTTCGTGGTCTGGCCCTGAGAGAGCACTCCCTCTTCCCTCTTCAAATCTTGGTTCTCCAGGAGGGCAGGAAAGAGATAGAGGAAAAAGGATACATGCCTCTCAACTCACTTGACAGTGGTTGTAACCCTCCCCGCTGGTGGTTGATGCTATTTCTCTGGCTGCTACTGAGCAGTTATTGATGTGCTTTCTGGTGAGAGGTGGTGAGCGACTGGCCATGTGGGGGAACATGTGTGTGCGTTCTTCAGAGGCTGTGCAGGGCATGCCCATGGCAGTATTCCCTGAAGGTGTGCGCTAGGCGAGCACTGCTCTGTGTTTGAGCAGTGGCATGTGAGTGTCATTTGTGCAAGCACCACCATTTTCTATTTATGCCACCTGGCACCCCTCTTTCTCCACCTCAACCACTGCACTTCCCCCTACTGGTTCTCCTCTGTGACTCTGTGACTCTGTCATTCCTGTCCAGTCTAGTCTTGAGGAGCAAAGTGGCCCTGCAGATAGGAATTCCAAATAGTTCTGACTTGCACTTAGGACAGGAATTCTTTTGAATCTTTAATTTGTGTCTGGTGGGTGGACTGGCAACTCTCCTGGGGTACCAGGGGTCTCCCACCTTAGATCAAGGATCCCACTTTGGATCTTGATCTTGATCACTCTATCTAGGTACCAGTAAAATCCTGCTACAGACATAGTATTTTTATTTTACATATGGAGCAGTTAAGGATTAGAGAACTTAAAGACATACAGCGAGAAAATGTAAGTCCTGTGTTTCTTCATCCATACTATTGAGACTCTAACAGCCATGTTGTTAAGTAGTACATGATAGCATGTCCTCTGTGCCATCTTTGGTTGTTTGGAAGAAGAGATGATTATGTCCTTAACTGCTAACCAATTAAAAACCCAGACATAGGGACTTAGAGCGGAATAGGGCTAGGAGTCCTAACTGGCATAGTCCAGGGACATACCTTTTCAGGAAGATCGCTGGAGCCAATGAAGAAAACTGTATGGCATAGTTCCCAAGTTAGCACCGCAGGGTAGAGACCACCCGGCACTGGATACAATTGTTGAGGAGGAAGTGTGACATAAAATTAGGTCACTGAAGGGCATAGACATACCTGTTTTTAAAAATAATCTCACATTTATATTTGGTGGTATGATAATTCATTAGAGATTCTTCAGGTCTTGTCTTAGAAGGCCACAGAAGAAAAGGCAACAATGATAATTGCTAATATGTCAGGCCACTTATTATGAAACAAAAACTGTTAATTGCTTTATATGCATTTAATGGTTATGTTGCAATAACCATTAAAATAGATCATTCTATTTTCTTATTCAAAATTCAAGTAATTAAGCTTAGAAACTTCATTGATGTAACTTGCATGAGATCATAGAGTTCAAAAAGGTGGTAAAGAATTTTTTTTAAAGAACTTTTTTCCTGTTTCAGCCATGGACAGAAATGATGATTAAAGAATTTTCCCTCTGTTTTACAGAGTAACCGAAAACACGGATAAGACTCCAGAAAGGCAAATGCTACTAAACCTTCAAAGATGGCAGAAATGTTTACAACAGTGAGAGGGAGATCAAAAGCTAAGAACTACCCTGTAGCCAGGACTACAACTGTGTATTTTAAAGCCATTATTCAAGGTTTCTTACTTGACAGTTCCTACATGACCCTGTTGAAAATCTACAATATATGCTGCATTTAATGAAACATGTATATGTCAAACCAGAAGAGAAGAACTATAAACATATATTGTGTAAAGAAAAAAAAAATCAGCAATGGAAACAGTTTCAACAGATCAAGGAAAGATGTGTCTTGGGCATGGAACCAAAGTTACAAAGAAACATTCTACCCCTGCTGTGCAGGGGGATCATTTTAATGTAACACCACACCCCATGGAAACACTAGTCCCAAAATAAACATTTTAAAAAATCAAAACAAGCAAACAAAATAAAAAAAAAACAAACAAAAAAACAAGGGGGGGGTGGGGAATGAAGCACGAGGAATACCTATGAGGAGCTATTTACAATAAAATGTTTCATTTGAAAAGTCTGGTTTCTTACTACAGGGATTTGCTTTTTGTCTTTATTGTTGTTTAAAACTCAGGAACAGAGACATCTGCAGTGTGAATGGGAAGAAAAGCAGTCTCCCGTTTGTCTTTCTGCAAAAGGTGAAGCTTGTGGAATGCACTCCACAGATGACAGAGGATCACGGTGAGCCCCGACTAAACCGGCCACGTGGCGAGGCAGAGGACCTTGGCGAATGTAACATAAGAAATAAAAGCAGATTTGATGCTTCCCTGGCCTTCTGTCACATCTGTGTTCCTCCACGAACAGACTGATCTCACTCCTATTGAAAATTAAGAAGACAATGCTCTAAATCACAAGCTCCCTGCCGTAGTTCTGTTTCGAATGCCAACATCTATAGGGAACACGGGCCAGAGAGCATCTCTGAATCCATTTCTAAAACACTGGTTTTCAAATGGCTGCTTAAAATTGCGCGCAAATAAATATGTTATACGATTTGAGTAAAAACACACAATAGAGGCGATAAGTAAACTTCTACCAACAGTTGAGTTTGCCACAGAGATGTGAATATTAAATAAAATGATGATTATTTTTTAAAGTATCCTGATATGCCTAGAGCATTCTGACCTCTTGTCATTTAGACTGATAACATTTTTCCCCCAGAGAGCTGACCGCAATAAGACAGCTCTACTTTTTTTATACAGAAACAACATAACGTTACTGATAGGGTCATTTTCTACCAGAGGCAATTAGAAGACTGGTACTTTTCCTAAGTTATGTAATACTGAGTCTTAGATTCAGCTCTGAGGGCCAATAAATGTTCCTGAAATCTAATTTTACACCTCATTGACTGTAGGTAACACAACAGCCTCAATTTTTCAAATTGTCAAGGTTTTATTTACAGGGCTAGATTTCCCATGCATGAAGAATGTGTGTAGGGAGCCAGAAACTCTTTCTATGAAATGCTACACGAATCCTTCCAGACGTGAGTTCAGTATCTTATTCTTTGGTTTTAGCACTGGCATTTTCAAAGCCAGAACAATAGCCGAAGAATAGGCAAGAAAGGCTAGAATGCTGGGGTCCCACTTTTTGTCCTTATATTTACTGCTGACCCAGGTATCTTTGGCCCAGTCACTTAACCTCTCTGTGCCTCAGTTTCCTCATCCGCAAAATGAGGTTAAAATGCTTTTTCATAAAGTTAGGTGTTTTTTGTTTTTTGCAATTCTCGAACAAGAGGTGCTTAAAGTAGCACAAAGTGCTTTGTAAAAAATTTGACGGCTGTATTATTTGACTTTCTTGTATTGTTGAGAAAGAGTCCCCTGTGTAATAAAATAGTGCTTCCGTCTGGTTGAATCTAAGCACTGCAGCACTGAAGTTTCCCATCAAACTACCTGGGATATTGCTAGCAATAAAGGTTGGGAGATCCAGATCCGGGATCTCTGATAACCTATAGTAAATAGATCATCTCATGCTTTTGAATGGGATAGAAGAATATCATTTCACTGATAAGCATCTCCTAGCTCTCTTTATTGCATATGCATGCCATGAGACAAAACTCCACTTTTATCCTAGGAGAGCCAACTATGAAATTAAGGCTTGGAGTAACCAATAGTATCACATAATTAGTCTGATTATCCCTTTCATTTTGGAGAGATGTACTACTGAGCAATATGTCTTACTGGGAATATACAAAATATCTTTCTGCTGGATTCTTTACTCAACCGGGTAATTTGTACACTAAATGTGAACAGCACATTCATTGTGCAGGCAATGTAAGAGAAGGTGCCACTACAGTCTGCTATCCAGCCCTTTCAGATCTCAGAATATATGCAAGAGGATGAATTCTTCCCTATCTTTGACTTCTCTCTTCTGTTGCTCTTTATAGATCATTCCAGGGTCCATCTGAGCAAATTCATACTCCATCTGCTATATCAACCCTACTTTCCATCATCTTGCTTTTTCCTCCAAGAAACTTGTATATTAAATTTCATATCTAAACACTGATTTAAAGGATTAGAAACATTTGGAAAAACAGTGTGGCTTGATCATGTACCTTATCTGTTATAAATTTGATTGTATCACACACACACACACAATCATACAGGTAGGATGACTAAGCAGCTTTTGATGTTTTTAGGGTGAATGCAAAAGCAGAGATTCTTTGTTTAACATTCAGGAGATGAGCAAAGTTCTCTAGATTTTAGGCTAAATCGTGATGCTTTTACTAAGTCACCTTACTTCTGATCCTCACAATTAACATATTGGATGAGGCTGAATATTTTGATAGGTACATCTCTCTTTTATTCATTTCAACAATTATAAAAACATTAACAGCTGTAAATGTGTGTTTCACTCCTGGATCCACAGAAATGAATTAAATTTAAGTGAATGCTTCTCTTGCATATGATGTTTAGCAACAGTAAAGAGTGTCTCATTAGTCATGGAGGGGCTTACTGTGGCTCAATTTCTTACAGAGAGTATGAAATCCCCACTTTGATCTTTAATTTCTGCATCTTGACTCTCCTGACACATTTGGCCAATGAGTTAATAACAGAACAGCATTCTTCAGGGCTCATTTGCCTGTCTTTCTTAACAAAGTATTCATCTCTTGGAAGATAAATAGAACTTAAAATATGAAAAAACAGTTTGCCGTAAAATGAAAGCCCCACTTCAGCACAGTTATTCATGGCAGGAAATTTTTCATGAGCAAGGAAAAACAAGAAAACTATTTGGCTATAATACTAGGAAGTGTCTATTACTAAAAGGACTTTTTTTTTTTCCCACCCAAATCATACTGTAGGCAACACTGGAATGTGCTGAAAATAAGTATCAGGTCCCTTTTAACCTATGTCATATAAATGAAATCATTGTCAATACTGAGATTTTAGAGGTGGAAGAATAAATTTTGCTTTGATTTTTCTGCCATTCACAAATAAGTGTTGACATAGGTGGCCTGCTTCTTCAGTAGGGTAGAGATGATGTAGAGGGCTCATCAGTCATCGCTGGAGCAGAAAAGGGACATTTATTCTCTACTAGTATAGAAGAAATACAATTTTGCCAAATGATTTTTGCTACAGTATTTTTTCAATTAAATTTTTGTTCAAAATAAATCTTTGATAAACTTGTTCCTTTTTGCCTATTTATTGTCAACCTTTTCTGTAAACCCACTGTGTGATTCACATGTTCAGTGTCTTCAATGTAATCTGTAAGTTCATTGTTGCAAAAGGAAGTGTTTTTTAAAAACTGCCTAGGTTTTCATGGGAATTGTAAAAATAATATTTTTAATGTGTTGATGTTTAAATAATTGGATCATGTGTGTTATGTTACATCAAAATAGATGGGCAGCTTAGGCATTTTATTTTCTAAATATTTAATTGCATTTTTTGATCTGTCAAAGAGTAGAACTACATATGTACATATATACACATATATACAGTATATATATGGTGTATATATACATACCCACATTTATCTACTATATTGAAAAAGCTCAATATAACATCTGAGAGATCAGTAATCAAAACAAATCTTAGGTGACTGTTTATGTCACAAGTTAATGCTTTCAAGATGGGCCCCAGCCTTTCCTTAAGTGGACTTCTCCTTTCTGAAGGGAAAAAAAAGTAGGTCACAAGGTCTTAAAGGATAAAAGCTTCCATTCTGTTCAACTGTCTTGTCACTTCTATATAATATATTACCTTGAGACTCAATTTCAGGTGTATTGGCAAGAGGATTCAGACGTAACAGAAGGTTGGACTTGATCCTCTAATTTCATTTCAGGACTGGGCAGGGCACATTCACGTTCCTCTGTTGCCTTTAATTTGGTAGTTTGGTTCTTCCTAAATAAACCACTTGTTGAAAGTCCAAGTCTAATGTTTAATCAAGTTCCTAAAAATCTACTTCCAGGAGCAATGTGGCAAAAATAGAAGGATTATAATTTGCTATATTCAACCTAAAGTATCATACTCAGAGGTGCAGGTGACGGATTGGGTGAAGTTCCCTCATGTATTTCTGTTTTTGCATTGAGATCTTTGCATCCACACTTATATTTCCATCCTTGTTATATCAAAGTTTCGTAGGATAGAAGAGGTGTAGATAAACAACTTTGAGTCCAATTTTGTCTACAATCAAGACTCTACAAACTTGCTAAAGTATGAGTAATGCAATTTCCCAAAAGCACATCCTCAGCATCCAGTAGTAACAGCAATCACTGACCCTTGATTGACATCTCACAAGATGTGCCTATTTCCCCCATTAACTATAGTAACTACTTACAATGAAACAGATAAAAATACAAACGCTTTTATAAATATGTACATATATGCACATGTATACTCTGTACATACTACAATGGTGTGAGCGCTTACTAAATGGGTACTTCTGTCCTAGGACTGAGGACTGAAGGAAGGGGTTTTTCTGATGCTGCTAGGTAACTCATATTTTGGGTTAGCATCTGGTGTCTGTGCTCTCCTCCTTCCCTGCCTCTTCTTCCTCCCCCACCTTCTGTTCACTACCATGACTCCCTGTTGTTGACTGAGGCAAAGAACTACTGATTGGTTTTCCAATTACTCAGACCTATAAACCAGCCTCTTAGTGATGCCAGTGGTTTTCTAGGAAGAGCAACGAGAAATCCAGTATGATTACAGTATTAATATTACCCCCCAAATCCCATCATTTTATCAGCTAAAAGTCTCATTCCAATAAGGCTTTATGCGTGTTTTAACCTTCAAGATCCAAATCTATGGGGACTCAAGTAGAGAGCCAGTGTATTTGAATACATGATTCCCCAGATACCTACTGTACTAATGTAGCCAGGGGACCAATTTCTCAGAGCTTTCATCCAATCAGCTGCCTCATTTGGGGTTCTTTATCTCCATCTCATTAGCATGACTCCATATATTGGTTCAGCACTTGTTTATTAATGAGAAAAATATAAATTGACTGAGTTTCACCATAATGGTCCCTCTGAAGTACACTGAACATGTACATGTACTATATGTATTACCTAGAGATGGGAATCAATTTATTGTATGTAAAGGTTTATGACTGGTTATTTTATAATTTATGTATTTAATATAGGAATCAATGAGCTCTGGTGTTTTAGTTTATATAAAAATAAAACAAGCTGCATTTTTTAAAACTTTATCTCGCATTGTTCATAGGTTTTTGTTTTTGTTTTGTTGTCCTTAACTGTGCTCTTAACCTACTTTTGAAAAACCGGGTCAAGCATATCAGAGATATCAGTATAATGACAGTGATCAATGATTGTAAAC